CCTTGCAGTACGTGTTCGTTTCCCCTTGAATGTGGTCTGGCATGGTTTGAAATTGTTTGTGGGTTTTTTGATTTCGTATTGCAAGCCTCACGACCGCGGAGCGTGGGAACCTAGCAACAACATGCCTCAAAGGCTCCGCGCATTCACAAGCCCATCAACATAGGGATGATGCAGAAGAAGCACAGGTTGGCGAAGCTGCACGGAAATCCTGACCATTCCTGACCCCAATCCCAGACATTAACCAACGACCGTAGGAATCAGTGCAACTTCCGGCGATCGACCAGCCCAGCCAACCGAACAAGACCACCAGCGACCAACTTTGCCCATCCTCTATTGACGACCACTGCGTCCGCAGCCACAAAACGGCTCCTTCGTAGAAGAGTCAAATCATGATATTCCTGAGCCCTCGGTGTGCAAGAATTACGTGAGACCGCCCTAACAAAATCGTATACCGCAGAACCCTAACAAACCGCGCCTCCCCTGCCGAAGCTGAACATTTTGTCTCTTCCGAAACAGCAACGCGCGGCTGCCTGGCACAAGAGTTTCTTGTTTTCTAAGGATCTTCTGCTTGGATATCTAAATGCGCTTCCGAGCAACATCCCAAAACATAGCAAAACACCAACTACATTGTCTCCGATCGTGGATGTTGAAAATTTTGGACAGAGTGAAATGCTGATGCTGAGGTGACAAGAAAACACATGTATAAGCACTGCCTGATGTGCATACTTCGATTGTCACAAGAGAGCCATATACTGGCACTGTGCTTGCCATCTCTGTGAAACAGCTGCCAAGTCCATCCTGTTCATTCATGACGCAGGAATCCGACTCGGAAAGTTGAGATGAGCTCGCTTCAGATGTGTTAGTCCAGAAAGCCTTGGATGCACTCGGATTCACGAAGCCAGCCGTCCACATACCTTCTCGCTTCTTGTTTGTATCAGAATGCTAGGCCAGTCTACAGTCCAAAAGCTCAGTCTGAAAGCTGCATCATCCACCAGACTCTTAGCTCATGCCGGCAAGATTCCTCTGATCAAGTCCATCGACTGAGCCTGGTTTGCGTTCAAGGAAACTGACATTGCATTTACGCCGAACAAGTATCAAGTCACCACACCGCTGCCAAGTTTAAAGGGAAGGACAAGGAGAAGTAGAAAGAGAGGCTGTGGTCACAAGGAAAAGCCACAGGGCTCAGGCGAGGGAAGGGAGAGGGACGAACAGGATCTTGGGCCCGCCACTGGAGTTACGCGGAAAAGGTCGACGAGGCGTCACAAACGAAGGATGCTACCTGTGTTGTGTTTTCCTAAGACAATACCTACGAATTGCTCAAGAACCCCCCCCCCCCCCCCCCCCCCCCCCCCCCAAAAAAAAAAAAATCACTTCCTTATAAGGGCAATACAGGGAGTATTTTCTTATGTGTTTTTGGGTTCTTAAGCAAATAGTAGATACTCGAATGTTTCCCAGAAGCTGGCTAGTCTGAGTACTTCCTCGTTAAGTCAACACGATTTGCCTCGCCAAGTTGCATCCTCTCCCTGCAACACGTCCGTCAGCTCCCCTTTGGTGTCCAGGTCTTTGACCCTTTGTTGACAGCTGCATTTCGAATGCAGGGCTGAAGGACACGAAGACTAGAAGACTTATGCAGACTAAGTTTGCTTGATCGGAAGTGGCACAAGCAGGAGCCACATGATGACGCCAGAGAGCAGAACAGACCAAGGACCATTGCTTTATTGGGTTCTGAACTCTGAGGATAATGTGGAAGAGGTTTGCGGGCCGAGACTTGAGGGGATGAGCGATGATGAGCATGTGTGTGTCAGCGCATGGAGCATTGGAACTACTTGGCGACCTGCAACTCGTCCTTAACCGAATGCACATAGCTGCACTTAACACAAGTTGCAGTTTAGGTCCTGCACAGAAGTCCAGGGACGTATCAAGCCCTGGACACTTCAACACGAAAAGCCGCTCTTGTCAAGTGAAGCACCTGGCTTTCCCGTTTGGTACATGAGACCAAGAGTAACCCATAGTGCGAAAGATGTCTCTTTAGAGTCTTTAGGGCAAAGCGTATAATTCACATGCCGGGTGAGAACATCTGCCTTCTAGTAAGTTGCAGAGCGTAATTGACGTAGCCCATTGCTGCACCAGGCGGCCAAAGCATGAACTTCTGTGAGTAGCGCGCCACGATTGCAGCAACAGGCCTGCAAGTGCCAGTCTGCCACTAGCTGTGCAGTACTTTACGATGCTGTCAGAATTTCAGGCACAAACAATCTGCCCGATCCACACAAATCTACCACTTCCTTACCGTAAGGCGTCCAGAACATGCAGAGACGAAGCTCGGGATGCTGAGTGTTGACGGCATGGGAAACTAGCTTCACGGGGAACCCTCCGCCCCCTCCACGCCTTCCCCCCCCCCCGGCGTCCCAACCTTTGCTGATAAACACTGGAGACCAACTGGTGTATCGGACTACTATGGGGTGCGGGTGGGGCTGCCCCTCGCCGCTATATACGAGTCCTAGAGACATCGGAGCCATCCAAAAGAAAGCCCTGTTGACCAACAACAAGATTTTCAACAAGAACGAACGCAAACAAATGGGCGGAGATTTTTTTTGGTACTTTTTTTTCTTTTTTTGGTACTTTTTTATGTTTTTCGTGGTCCCCTGGTCCCCTGGTCTCCTGCTGCCCCGGTTTGCTGGTCCCCTACATTCCCTTTTAATTGAATTTTTTTAGGATTTGGTTGAGTTTCTTGGGTTTTCCGAAAAACCTCCATTCCCTCTATGTTTTCATGGGAACTGGTCCAGTTTCTTTGTTTTCCCACGAAAACCTCCATTCCCCCATATCTTCATAGGACTCGTACTGCTTTTCGTAGGAATTCTTATAAATGTTGCTCGTAAGTTTGCACGGCTTTTAAAAGCCGGGAGTTGGGGGGGGCAAACACAGTGCTCGCATGATAGGTTTCAAAAAGACGCATATGCTTTGAATGAAGCTTGCATTCTTTGATGACATCAGAGCACTCACGCTTTTTCAGCATCTCAGCTCATGGAATAGAAGGCGGCTCATGTCTGACAAAGAATCACGCATGCACCCAGAGCCTGTCTATCCTAAACATACGCCCAAGCTTGGAAAACGAGGGGGTTGGGGCGAAGGCGAGGCGCAGCCCACCCCCTCCCATTTGCAAACACAATGCTCGCATCATGGGCTTCCATCGTTCACATGCTTTAGAAACAATGGCATGATGGGTTTCAATCTTTCGCATGCTTTGAAAAAAGCTTGCACGGCTAAAAAAACCGGGGGGGTTGGCGGACGCAGCCAACACAATGCTCGCATGATGGCTTTCAAGCAAAAGCTTGCATTACTAAAAAAGGCGGAGGGGAGTGAAAAACACTTGAACGGCTTAAAGAAGCGGGGGGGGTTAGGCGGGGGCGCGCTGCAGACGCCCCCATTTGCAAACACAATGCTCGCATGATGGCTTTCAATCGGTAATGTGCTTTGAAACAAGCTTGCATCACTAAAAAAGGCGGGGGGTTGGGGGGGTGGGGGAACCCCCCCCAATTGCAGCAAACACAACGCTCGCATCATGGGTTTCAATCGTTCATATGCTTTGAAAAAAGGTGCCTGATGGGCTTTTATCGTTCCATGTGCTTTGAAAAAGGCTTGCACGGCTTAAAGAAGCGGAGGACATGGGGGGGGCTGCGAGTTGGGGGGGGGCGCAGCCCCCCCCATGTGCAAACACAATGCTTGCATCATGGGTTCCATGGTTCATACGCTTAGAAAAAGCTGGGTTGCAATCCTTCATATGCTTTGAAAAATCTTGCACGGCTTCACGAAGCGGGGGGCTTGGGGGGGGGGGGGGGGGGGCGCAGCCCCCCCCCCCCCGACCCCCATGTGCAAACACAATGCTCGCATGCTGGCTTTCAATCGTTAATGTGCTTTGAAACATGCTTGCATCACTAAAAAAGACGGGGGGGGTTGGGGGGTGGGGGAAGCCCCCCGCCCATTTGCAAACACAGTGCTCGCATCATGGTTTTCAATTGTTCATATGCTGTGAAAAAGTGGCATGATGGGCGTTTATCGTTCATGTGCCTTGAAAAAGGCTTGCAGGGCTTGAAGAAGCGGGGGGGTTGGGGGGGGCGCAGCCCCCCCCCATTTGCAAACACGATGCTTGCGTCATGGGTTTCGATCGTTCATATGCCATATGTTTAGAAAAAAGTGGCATGATGGGTTTCAATCCTTCATACGCTTTGAAAAAGCCTGCACGGCTTCAAGAAGCGGGGGCGTTGGGTGGGGGGCGCAGCCCCCCCCCCATGTGCAAACACAATGCTCGCATGATGGCTTTCAATCGTTCATATGTTTTGAAATTTACTTCCACGGCTAAAAAAGGCGGGGAGGTTGGGGGGGGGGGGCGCAGCCCCCCCCCCCCCCCATTTGCAAACACAATGCTCGCATCATGGGCTTCAATCGCTCATATGCCTTGAGAAAAAAGTGGCCTGATGGGTTTTAATCGGCTTGACGGCTTGAAGAAGCGGGGGGGGAGCAGACCAGGGGAGCAGGCGACCAGGGGAGCAGGCGACCAGCAGACCAGCAGACCGGGAGACCAACAGACGATATATAGATATATAGATATATAGATATATAGATATATAGATATATAGATATATAGATATATAGATATATAGATATATAGATATACAGAATAGATATACAGACATATAGACAAATAGATATATAGATATATAGATATATAGATATATAGATATATAGATATATAGATATATACCCTGCAGACCAGGGGACCAGGGGACTACGAAAAAAATGTACAAAAAAAAGAGAGAAAAAGTACCAAAAAACAAGCCCTCCCAAACAAATAAAGAGCCAGCTTTCATGTCTGGTCCTCGAATTCTCTCGTCCTTGCCTCAAGTGCTTACAGTCATGCCTGGGCTTTGGGTCCCACTTCTTGAACCTCCGTGCTAAGTTTCTTTTGCTTTCGTGGGGCATGTGGGCTCCTCTCTCTCACGCGCTCACAACCGTACATACCCGCACCCAGTTCCCTCTGCCGGCCGTACGAGTGCCACGATCTCGCCAAACTCCTTGGGCGCCACAGCGCAAAGATCGCATTCTGAGACGGCAGTCAATTGGCCCACCTCAGCAACAAGAGCAAGCCTGCCAAGTGCCGCCAAACCCAGAGTTCTCAAACCATGCCAGGTAGATACCCTATCATCACCAGAAGCAGATCTCAGAGCATCTCTCGGCATGTTCCTCCACTCTACTTTCGCCATCTTTCGCCCGAGCAGTGGTAACCTCAATATCCCTCAATCAAACAATCGCGTGCAGCTGCAAACTCGTTTGGACCCGGGACGGGGCAAGTGACAGCCACGCGTGCAAAACGCTTCATCGCTTCTGTGTTAGCATCCTAGCTCAGCATAGCTTAGCTTTCCAACGCCAAAAAACACCGCTCCCTGCGACAGCGTGCAAGTGCTTGCGGTGAGGTGCATGCACCCAGAACGGAGTCCACATGACCGGTTCGCCAATCCAGTCCTGCATGCTTCGGTGCTTCGGTTTCTTTTTGTTTCTTTCCTTGGACAGAGGCTGCACTACAATTTCCATTCAGCTTGCTACACAAAACTCGCAACTTGCAGTCGTCCTGGCCCGACATACTACAACGGCGGTGGCATATAGTACTTTAAAGCCGGCTACTTGCACCAGCTGCCCCTCCTCACCCTTGTCCACAACGTCCACGCGTTCGTTCTGTGTGTCGGCATCCCTGGCCATCACAACATTTGATCCCCGTGCTTTCCTACAAATCCACATCATGCGCAAATTCCTGTTTCATGCTTCCCGGATTTGATTTGCTCATGCAGCATCGCCAGCCTCACGTACTGCATGCGGCCAGAAGCGATGAAGTACAGGTAGCTGCCTTCTTGACTCGGAAGAAACTGCCTCAAGCGCATCAGCAAAGTAGATCTGAAAGATCGGAAGCTTCAAGGGAAGTACAGCAGTAGAATTCGTGCAGCAGCACCTCTGACTGAAATGGCTTCAAGTGACGTGTCCCCTCGAGCGAGCTGGAAGCGATGCACAGCCTCTTTGGCCAGGCGCTGCACTGTGATGACCTGAGAAAAAACCACAAAAGAACAGAAGCAAGCACAGGAGAATGTGTCCAAGAGAGGCACTATAGTGCATGCGAGGCGACTTACGCAAAAACTGGAATGCTTAGAATTCCACGGGGTATTCGTACGAGGTTCCGGCAGGATGGTGGCATGAATGACATACACTTACCATGGCCATAAGAGGCAGTGTGCAGATCAACAGATGCGTGCAGATTTGATGATTCCGAACGCCGGAACATGTCGGAACGAGGCAAAACTGGCAAGGCTCGGACAGAGAAACTGTTCAGAAAGCCGAACAGGGGATGGATCATCATATGGGGCATATTCATGGCCTCGGCAGGCGGCGGGGGTCAATGATCAGAATGTGGCCCTCGGGATCTGGCTGCATTTGACCGAGACTGCCGCGCACTGGAGCTCCTCCATCAAACCTCCCGAAAGCAGTGACAAGACCTTAGGAGCAGCATTGCAGCCTGCTGCCTGCTGATGGCTGCTGTGCAGGGCTGTACTGTGGACGAGTAATGTGGAAGCCTCGCAAGGACCAAGGATTGTCCGGCGCAGAGTATGCTCCGACGCCAGACCAGTCCAGCTATGTGCATGCGGCTTCGAAACCTTTTGTGAAGTTCCGCTCCAGTAAGTCTAGCTGCGGGCCCTTGGGCGCAAGGGAATCTAATCTCACGCGTTTTGTGCTTTGATCTACACGCTCATCACATGTGTGGATCGTGTGGCCCGCAATGTATCGTGTGAGCGGTTTACAAATCCTGTCTTTGTTGAACGTTAGCTCGTGACAGCTAGTGGGCCCCTATCCACTTTCGAGGATTAGCACTACAGATTACAGCAGAACTTTAGGGTGGGCCCCTACGGCGCTTTCCGAGGATAAGTACAAAAATCCGGACAAAGGCATGTAACATTGAAATTTCACAAGATTGGAGCTGCGCACGTCTGGCAGCGGACTCTCAGCTCTCCGAGCGCACTCTGATGCGATGCCAAGTCACCTTCACTTCCTCGGCACGACACCATGCTTAAACGTACTTAGCCTACACCTCAGAGCTCTTTCAATCTGACACACATTGACACACGATTTGTTTGTTCTTGTTGCTCTTGTTGCTCTTGTGCGCCGGCCTTGACGGACATCTTCTTCTGCTGCTGCGAGTGCGCGTGCTCCACAAAGCGCTGGATGCGGGACGCGAGCTCCATCGGGACTTGGTTCCTCCGCAGAAAGCGCCGCATCATCCAGAAGTCCTCACGCAGAGATCACACCACGAAGTGCCACGAAGTACTCGATGCACTAGATGGGCAAGTATATAGTATAGAGTCTCGTCTCAAGATGTCTCGCGTCTATCCTTGGCCGACTGCTCCGTCATGCTCCGCAGCTGCGCTAGCGACCCTGAGCATCATCGAGCCAGTCGTGCACATCAGTGTACTCTGCCGCATGGTGCAAGTGTGGTGCACAATGGCGGTGAAGACAAGCCACTGCAAACAGGATCTTCTACCATCTTCTACTGAACCTCCGTGAGTTCCTGATTCTATGGTCGCATCGGGCCTAGGATGCTGCCAACGACATAGGAGAAGCCGACCAGGGCGAAGACCTTGCTTGCTCTGCGCATCTGGTCTGCCAACATGCAAGCAAACGTCATTTGAGGGCCTGATTTCATCTATAGATTCTGCAGGTTCGGTTGCCCTACATGCGGGCGTTTGTCGGTCGAGTCTTCTTGACTCTGAGGTAAGTAAGGGAGGAGGGCTTGGGGACTTGCTTTGGTAGGTGAAGGATGTGCAGACTTCTAGACTTATTAGGCTGTAGGGGGTCTCAATGTGCGGCGTTGAAGGCATTGATCGGCTGGCTGCGTATCTAAAATCTAAAGGCTCCGTGCCATTCCACTGTACAGATTCGGCCCAAGATGTTGTAAGATTCCGAAATAATATTCCGAAATATGATGGCAATCTACCATGATGCACCAGCGAGCAATCAAGCCCCATCACGGCAGCTGAGACAAGGGGCAACAACAAAGATGGCAAAAGTCTGCTCAACCTGAGCCATGAATTCGCACACACGCACACAGATGAAGCACTTGGATTCGCTCCGGTCCCTCTGCATCCTCTTTGACATACACTCATTCGTTGCCAGGTCACGATGTTGGCAGGATGGATCTGAGGTTTTGAAGCCGGCGTGAATTGCCTGGAGTGTGACATGTATGATCATGGAATATCATGGATGTGCTGAGTGATGAACTGACTAACTGGAGACTTTCCTCGAAGTGCAGCTATTGGTAGCATGGAATGCCGAAAGATGGCTCAACATATCTCAGCATGATGCCCAGTAAAAGGGAAGGGCTGGAGTTGGAACGTTGGGTGCGGCCATGTGCGGCCGAAAGACGTGATTGACCAATGGAAGCTCGTCACATAGCGGATGTCCTCAGGCAAGCAGCTCTGCACAAATCTGCACAGCGTGCAGCATGCATAGGGAGAACGGAATGGACTTGGGGATGACAGTGGTGACAAGAACATACCTTTGTTGTGCACGAAACCAAAAGTTCTTTTTGCGCCCAGAAAAGCCAATCAAGCACTGCAATGCACTGCACCAGGAGTCCCAGGGCTCAGTCAGCATGCCACTGTCCTCAGTGTCACGGCGAGTGTTTTGGATTCGTAGGGAAATGCGCCAAAACGGACCCCTGGAGTTTTCTGCAAGCTGCTGGAGGACCTGGCCCTTGGCCTCAGGCCTTCTCGGAGGAGTTTTTAATCCTTTCTCGGGTGTTTCCGGAACTCAGAAGAGGTTGACGGACGTTGTCAGCACCCCCCCAGGCAGAATTTCGAGGATTAACTCTTAAATGTCCTCTTAAAAACCCCCACCCACTGCACATCCCTGGCAAGTATCGTGGTGACAGAATTTTCCGCTGCAAAGCCCACGCAAGCAGGAATTCCGCGCTTGCGAAGTGCGCGCTGTCGAACGTATCGTGCGCCATGTGCGATCATGCATCGTGTTGTCTCGGCTTCTAAGCATGCAATATCAACGGTGTCATCACCTGGCATCGCCCGGCTTTTAGCGGCCACTGGTGCTGTGTGTGTGTGTGTGTGTGTGTGTGTGTGTGTGTGTGTGTGTGTGTGTGTGTGTGTGTGTGTGTGTGTGTGTGTGTGTGTGTGTGTGTGGGTGGGTGCGTGCGTGCGTGCGTGCGTGCGTGCGTGCGTGCGTCTAGCATGTGGTACGCAGCAGCACAGCCGGAGGCCATGGTGGCGCAGGCATCGGAGCCGGATGAGGTCTCCTGCAGGCCGCCCGCTCTGGTCCGACAGATCCTGGTGCATCTGGGGGTCTTACTGAATCATATTTGTTGGCAAGTTTCGACCCAAGCAGGGATGCCAGCATCGTGGAAAGCAATGGACAGTGCGTACCAGACGCCTTGGACATGTTTCAGTGCGCAAGTTCCTTTCCAAATTGCAATGTGAGGGAGTACGCTGCTGCTTGTGCAGGATCAAAATGTCACAAGGCCAACCGTCTTGGCTGAAGACTAAGTACTCAGGACTGCAAAATGCTGCCGCGGCTCAAGCGATCAAATGGTTGAGTGCTAGCCTGGGTGAGCCACGATTGACCAACATACCATGCTGTTAAATTCTGGCAAAAATTCTGGTCAACATGATATAATCATCAAGCAAATGGCACATGGACTTCCAAGATCTTCCTCTGAAGGAAATTTAAGCGTTTGGTTGGAGGGGTCGGGGTCTCAAGGATTGGGTGGATTGATGGCACCCTGAACCCTAAACCCAAAATAAAGGCCTACGGGTTTCGGGTTTGAGCAGGGCTGAGCGCTGCAGTCTTACAGAAAGTTCCCCTAAGAACCGGCCCATACCATCTCATACATTCTCATACAGTCTCGAAGTGCCAGGCAGCAAGAGGAGGATCATTTTTGCCTCAGTTGTCCCAATACGTTACTCACATCAGTCAGCTCTATCCACTTGGATAGGGCCCATCGCAACGCGCAGATGAGATGCAATGTTGGCCATTATGCTCGCAACTTCAGAGTCCAGGTAATCACTGATCTTCTCCATCACCTGGCAGATGTGCAACAAGCTAAGGTCTAGCTGTGTCCCATCTGGAGGACGACCGGCCATGACCGGCATGTTCCAAAACAGCACTAGAATCACAAGAGGAGAGCGTGACTATAGAGGTGACTAGAGAATGCGCATATGGATGCACGATGATGCACGCATGCCTTCTGTAATTTGAGCAGCCGCAGAAGCCGTGCAGTTCGGGCCAGGCGAAGGATGCGCAGAAGACGGACTCCTTCCTCCTTGCGAGTGCAATTGAGAACCCATGTCCATTTCTGTGCATAGCAGGCAACTGTGGTTCGCTGTGCAACAAAGAACATCTGCTATCACCAGCTCAGTTGCTCCAAGACCACCGCCACTCGCATCTGCAGGGTCCGCTTATGTGGAGACTACATGAGGGGTGAGCGTGTTGGGAGCTCGGCATGGTGTAGGACGTCAAAAATTGACTCTCAAGGAGGATTATGTCACAAAGGCCTCGGGATACATCCCTGTTCTTTCAAAACGTCGGAGCCTTCCAGGTTGGGTGTGGCTATCCGCACCAGCGTAAATGCCCAGTCCGGCACCAGCGTGACAACGTCGACTATGAACCAAGTTTTCAAGTAGTTCTTGAACTTAGCGGACCGTTGACTGTCGGCTTTGCAAAGGGACAGCCGGGCAAGCGGCAAGGATAGGCAATGCGACATTCGCTTCAGGAACCGTTCAAGATGATGCGACATTAGCTTCGCGACAGCTCGAACTCCAGGCCGGCCATTCTAGCACTTTTTCACAAGCCCGCTCCCAAGTGAAACTTGGCACTCATCTATGACAATGACAATGACAACGACAATGACAGCAATGATTCAACCCCCACACAAAAAATAATTCTGCAAGGGTGCAATCTGGCCCCTTAGCTCACTCAGCATTGGGCAGAGTCGGGCTGGCAATGCTGGCATGCAGTCTGCACAGGAACGTTAGGAACGTTGGGTCATCTCGCGGAAGTTTGCAGGGGACCCATGAAAGCCAACACGTCAGTTGGACCAAGATCAACGAAGAGCTCAAAGATGCTCAAAGGGTGTCAATGTTGTGCCCACGTTGCTTCACTTTGCTGCTTTTCGAAGCCTAGAAGCGGTGCCATGACGGCTTCTCCACGTCGTGTAAAACCCACAGTGAGGGTCGCAGGGACATTGAGGGTCCAAAACAGGAGCGTCATCCAGTCCTGCAAGGCCGGCTCCAAGAAAAGAATGGCTGATGCTGCAATGCTCTCCTCTCCTTCTTCTCCTCACTCCGCTGCTTCTTCAAAATACTTAACATTACTTAACACACTCCATTCATGGCAAACAGCATCTTCGCTTCAAAGAGCTCTGCATAGCACAATCACACAGCTGCATCGAGGGGCTGAGCTTTAAAACTCCATGATGCTTAACCGGTCTCAGATCTCTCGCGATGCCGAAGTTTGACTTTGCCCGGTCCATAGCATCTGTGAAAATCGTATCCGGATACTCAAAAACCTCGGTATGTGGTGGGGTACGGATCGTGAGTCTGAGGTGCATGCTGAAGCTCTGCTGTGCTTGGGGCTAATGAGCTATATTGCATTGCTTTTCTGAAGCTCCAGGCCCTGCTCCTCAAGTCGCTGAGGCCAACACTTTCAAAGGAATCCTTGGGGGCAAAAAGAATGTTGACGGCTGCAAAACATTGCAAAACCATCTGGAGAGCCCCTGCCGAAGAGACAGATGACCAGATGACGCAGAAACATGGTGAAGCCATGTGAAGCCAAGATGCATGAAGAGATCATACAATATGAGCAGCCCACCAAAGAGATCCCAAGAGACACGGTGCTTGCTCGCCTGGGAGATGCTGCAGGCTGAAGCAGGAATCGCTGAGGAATTGCCCGGCAAACTGCCAGACCTCACACTGCCTTGCTTCCAAGCAGCTGGATAGGCGATAAGGCTCCTGTTGTTTCGAGCCTGGCCAGCTTGACCCGTACGTTTGCGGCAGCCCAGCATTCCATCAAACTTCTGCTCTAGACTCTTTAGAAGATCAAGCACGCAAGGTGTCAAAAGCACCACCGTGATTTGTGAACGTCGCTTCCCTCTCCGTGAATTACCACTGCATGAAACGGCTCTGCCTTGTTGATGTTCTCCATCGACGGAGATATTGCGAGTTTTATGGTGTGGGAACCTGGACAAACATGCAAGCATCCACGAATAGCCATGCTGCCATGCCTCTTTAAGGCAGTCCAGCATCCAACTCGAGTCGGCTGTGTGAACTAATTGGGAACAAGTGGCCCATCGTTTCGGTTGTCATTCCTGACAATGGAACCTTAGCTAGAAGCAGCTAGAAGTTGAAGCACTGAAGCAGCCTGCACAACCACGGCATCCCGCTGCAAAAGGCGGACTACCACGACCGACAAACTGATAGCTGCTTCTGTCAAACTTCTGGCAAAAACCTTGTCATGCCTCATTGCAGTTGCTACACGGTTCCGTTTCGAGCTTCATTGTGAATAAGGCAGTCGTAGTGCCGCACAGCTCTTGATTTCAATCTGATTTCAACCACCGCCGTCAAGATGCTCTGTCCTTGTTGCTGAACCTGGAGAGCTGCTTTGCCCAAACCTGCCAGTTGATACTCTTATGCGATCGTCCAGACAACAACTGCTTCATTGAATCGACACTGTCGAGGGAGATAACCCTGACAATCCACAGCTTATGTTCCTCGCAAAGTGTGACGAGCCTCGCAGCAGGCACGTTCTATCACGTTCTACAAACATCGTGATCTAGGCCCTGCCCAAAGCTGCAGTGCCGCAAGCTACACCGCTACACGGTATGGCAGCCTCTCGCAGGGCGAAGTCCGCTCCCTGCCTCGAACAAGATCAGCCAAGTGCGGTAAGTGACTACTGCCACATGCTGCCACTATACGCTGCGGCAAATGTTACGTGTGGCTGGCTGTGATGGACCGGATCACTTCATCTGCACGCCGAATCACGCCTACACATCCAAAGGCAAGTGCGAAAGCTGCTGAGCATCAAGCAGTGAGCTGGTACGCTTTGGCTTGGGCCTCGTCCTGACAACCTGCGATTCACAAAACCGTACCTATTCAAAGTTCTGAACTGATTCTCGTATGCGTTCATGCACCGCAGCGGATAGCAGAACGTTCTGCGCAATCTTTGGAAGTGGGAGCTGCAATGATTCAGCCCGGGCTCCATCGGAGGCTCGGTGAGTGTGAGCGAGTCCGAGTTCTCCAGCGCGGAGTTGCCTGAACTGATTCCACAAGCAAATAAAGGACGGGTCTCTGCGATTTTATGCAGCTGCAATATTCTTGGCCACGTGACAAACTACGTAGGAACTGGCCATTGTTCAAACATTGTTCAAACCTGCTGCTCTGCCAGACATAAAGAGGCATCTGCATCCTGCTGGTTTCATCAGATGGCTCTCGTCTAACTCCTCTGGTCACCCAAGACCTCCCGCACATGCAACTTCATCAATTCTGGACTCTTGTCCGAATCTTGGAGTCTTGTGGAGTCTTGGGGACACAACGGCAGCAAATAGATCTATGGATTCCACTAGCACTTGGCACCATCTCCGCAGCGAAGAATTCGGTGCGACCGAAGCGGCTAGGATCCTTGTTTGGAACCACTGCAGCCTCCTTCGCTGGCCTGTGGTGGAGGAAACAAAGGTTTCACGAAGTTTCCCCCAGTCAGAGACGACTAGTTATTTCCAGCCAAGCGGCTCGGAATTTTCCATTTTGTCTGCAGGGGTGTCCTGGCAAAAGTGCTAGCAAAATTCTCGCTCCTGAAGACACACTGCCAAGTATGAGGCTTGTGGCAGATATGTCAAAGCTGCAATCGACTTGTTGGATTAGATCCTGCAATCCATAGGCATCAGCTGAGAAATCAAACGGACGACGTTCGTACAACATAAGGACCTTGCAGCTGCCACACGCACATGGCACATGGTAGTCTAGATTGCCCATGACTCCAAGATACTTCGAAGAGCCTCAACGAATCTAAACGCATGCAAGCATCAGACTTTTGCAGTACCTGACCGCTTTGGCTCTGCGAAACTGTTTGCGTGTTTCGTCGGTCCTGGTCGACGGAACTATCCCAGGACACGACCTGGCCACCAATGGACTTGCGAGAAACCGGGGCGTTTGCCAAACCGAAGCGCAACAGTAGCAGCAGAGCCATACAGGTCTGAAATGGTCTGTAAGATAGCGTCAGCTTGCCAGCTTGACCAGACGCTTGCAAAACCGACTGACTTCTTCCTGGGACCGGAGAAATTGAAAATAAAAAACAAATACATATACAAAAAATATATATATTATCTAAGTTCTAAAGATATGTGTTAGTCCACACAACAAAAGAGGACGACGGCAAAACGACGGAGGGACGACGGTGGGACGACGGAGGGACGATGGTGGGACGACGGAGGGACGAGGGCAAGACGACGGAGGGACGACGGCAGGATGACGGGGGGACGACGTCAGGACGCCGGGGGACGACGCGGGGACGACTGGGGGACGACGGAGGGACGACGGGGGGACGACGCCTGTCGCGCCGTCGTCGAGCCGTCGTCGCGTCGTCGTCGCGCCGTCGTCGCGCCGTCGTCACGCCGTCATAAGGCCTAGTTTAAGCCCAAACTAGGCCTTATTTCCCGTCATAAGGCCTAGTTTAAGCCCAAACTAGGCCTTATGACGGCGGGACGACGGCGGGACGACGGCCGGACGACGGCGGGACGACGGCGGGACGACGGCGGGACGACGGCGCGACGACGGCGCGACGACGGCGCGACAGACGGCGTCCCCCCGTCGTCGCGCCCTCGCACCCTGTCGTCGCGCCGTCGTCACACCGTCGTCGCCCCGTCGCCACCCCGTCGTCGCGCCGTCGTCACCCCATCGTCGCCCCGTCAAAGCCCTGACGTCTAGACCCCTCTAGCTGGACTAGAAACCATACCCCACATATCTCTAGAACTTAGATAATATATATATATATAGATATATGTGTGACCAGTTTTAAGGGGTCGAGGGGGGCCAGGTTCTTTTCTTGGCCCTTCGTTCGTACCAGCTTTTTGTCTTCGTTGGCCGGCACCACGGATTCTGAGCGTTTGGTGGGGATGGTCTCCGGGGCTTCTGTCCCCCGTATCGGGCTCATTTGTTGCTCTTGCGTTTGGGAGTCAATCATGTATATCGGTTCCCCCCACTGGGCTGTTAGCCACTCGTCCAAGGCGTTCAGTGCTTGGGCTGCCATGGTTGCTTCTTCCTGCACCAGGAAGGGCACTAGCTGTGCCAGGATGTGTTTGGCGGTGGTGACAATGCTGGTGGCTTTCCCGGCCAACCTGTCGTGGTTGCTCTCGTGCCCCCCGGTTGCTAGCCCCAGCACGTCCACCGGGTGGGTGGGTCGAGTGCCTGGGTCTCTCTCTCTCTCTCTCTCTTCCTTCCTTCCGCAGCACTTGACCCTCCCGAAGGAAGACCGCCCTAATGGGCGTGCTCTCTCTCTCTCTCTCTCTCTCTCTCTCTCTCTCTCTCTCTCTCTCTCTCTCTCTCTCTCTCTCTCTCTCTCTCTCTGCCTCTGTCTCTCTCTCTCTCTCTCTCTCCTGCACGCGTAGCCCCCCCCCAAGGTAAGGCTGCCCCAAGGGGCGCGCGAAGTCCAAGGGTCCGTCTGAGTGGGAGGTCCGCGGTTTTCGCGACCCCCAAACTTTTCGCACCAGGAGTGTGGTTTTCTCCGTGTATGAACCAATGCGCTGAAGCCCCCCTAATGCCCCTTCATGCCCCCCATAATCCCATAAAGTATTTCCAGGTCCCCCACTCTGTTCCTCCTGTGCCAATTGTGCCAACTGTGGGCTTGAAGCGGAAATTCCCGGCCATGGCGTGTTACGGAGTGGCTTGGAGGGCTGCTCCTTGCCTTCAATGCGCATCAACACGCTCCTCCCACGAGAGCTGGACGCTTGCCGGTAGTTCTTGGCTTCCCGGATAGTGACAAGAGAACAGAGCCCAGTGGCACCCCCGTGGTCCAGCTTGTGGCTTCCCCCGCAAACTCTTAGTTCCGAGCGGGTTCCCCCACACTGTGCCTGGAAATGGTGGGCTAGTATGGTACATTTGGTATCTGCAACTACGGTCTTAGTCGCTACTTGCTCCATCATGTGTTCTGCGTCTTCTGGAGTCGATATCTGGTAATCGGGGACTCCCCATTGGCCACGGTGCTTCCTCTGGCGTAGTTTCCCCGGGTGGTGGGGATGTGAACTCTTCGGTGGGTTCCCCCAATCTCCCCAGCGTGGCGTTTGTGCGGTGGGGTGGGTGAGGTGCGGGTGGTGGTGTACGGTTGGGGTGGGGGGGGTAATGGTGTCTGGTGTGGTGAGTGCGGCCCCCTTGCTCTTGACGAAATTCGTCAAGTGCTATCATGGCTTGGGTGGCGAGGAAGGGGACTAGTTGCGCCAGTAGTCCCCGAGCTTGGACTTTGCGGTCGTCATGGCCAGGGGGTGATGGGTGTTGCGGTCTGTCCATGTTACTTTCTGTGCCCCCTTTGTCAAGCCCCAGGACGTCTGCCGGGTGGGTGGTCTGTATGTGTAATGGTTGTGGTGCGGTGACTTCTGGGGGTGGGTCGGAAGGTGGTTGGGACCAGCCTGGTGCTTCAAGGACGGGCATGCGCGCATCTCGCGCTTGTTTTGTGTGTGTGTGAGGATTTCCCTGATTGCCGATTGGAGCTGTTGCTGCTCTCGCCGGGTGTTGTGGTCTCGGGGGGGGAGCGTTGCCTGGTTCGGTTGCCGAAGGAGCCCTTCCGCTAGCTCCAGGCTGACTTGGGCTGCCACTTCTCCTCCCCCCAGACTTGCCAATCCGCCACTCTCCACCACCTGCCCCATTCGCTGGATGCCCGTCTCTCTCTTCTTCTTCTTCTTCTTCTTCTTCTTCTTCTTCTTCTTCTTCTTCTTCTTCTTCTTCTTCTTCTTCTTCTTCTTCTTCTTCTTCTTCTTCTTCTTCTTCTGCTGCTAGGCATGAGGGGCGCAAGCACCCCCCGCGCTCTCTCTCTCTCTCTCTCTCTCTCTCTCTCTCTCTCTCTCTCTCTCTCTCTCTCTCTCTCTCTCTCTCTCTCTCTCTCTCTCTCTCTCTCTCTCTCTCTCTCTCTCTCGCTCTGTCGCTCTCTCTGCAGGCAAGTCCAGTCCCCCATAGACAATGGATTCTCTCATGTTACAGCAAAGACAGTAGCACTGATTGCGCTCACTTTTGCCTCCACCTGCACGACTGTGTTGGCTCCGACGGTCGCTCGAAGCGAACCCGGAGCACGAAAGCACCATTTCAAACGGCGCGCTTGAACGATGAAGTCGTCAGGGCGGGTGAGGCGGGAAAGCAAAAGAAACCTCGGCGAGCCTTTCTATACGGGCGACGGCTCGAGAGGTAACACTCGATCATCAATTGTCAATGCCTGCACACGTGCAAGCCCGGACAATGGATTCTCTCATGTTACAGCAAAGACAGTAGCACTGATTGCGCTCACTTTTGCCTCCACCTGCACGACTGTGTTGGCTCCGACGGTCGCTCGAAGCGAACCCGGAGCACGAAAGCACCATTTCAAACGGCGCGCTCTACGGATCCACCCACCGCGCGCCATTTCCCCAACTTCAGAGTGCGGTGTCGGTCGCTTGAAGCTTGGTTGCCAACTGCTGAAAATTCCACTGGTCCAGCGAAACCGGAGTCTGCTGAAGTCGTAGTAGCACTGGCCAGGCTTTGTTGAAGTCGGGCTCGATCCATCTGCACCCCAGGGCCTGCGCGATGTCGAACTGTCCCCGGGATATCTCGTCGGAGTTGCTGGTGACCCTTTGGAAGTGCACTTGCCAAGACTTCTCAGCTGCCCAAATCCAGAAGGCTCCGATGAGCCACGAAAGGCCCGCATTCTTGGAGGATCCTCTTGCTAGCGCGCGCTCGGCCGCGACGTTGTCGACGAAGCAGACGATAGCCAGTAGATGTAGTCCCTGGACGAACATGCCATCCGCAATATGGGTTCCGGGACCTGGGCCCGGAAGCACGCTCGCTCACCTGTCGCCCCGAAGAAAACCGCGCCCCATCCATTGGTCAAGTTCCGGAGCTCGTGTAGAGGAGGTCCCTGACGCGCCCACTGGTTGGCACACATGCGCTGGTCGTGAAGAGTAAGGAATGCGTCCGCATACAGGACCGCCGCTTTGTAACGAAGTGCCCGCGTCAAGGTAGGCACGAAGCGTGGTCGTAGCCGAGGGAGCAACTCGAGTAGGAGCAAGAAACTCGCCCGAAGAGCCGCCGAGAGGGGTGCATCACCCCCTGGTCCACTGTGCTGGCGCTTGTAAACAGCTCGAAGTAGCGCCTGTCCTGCCTTGCCGAAGAGCCCGGAGCATACGAAAGCAAGCTTGCCCGCTAGCTTAGCGGCCACTGGCGTCGAGCAGAGGCCCCGACGAAGGCAATCACGGATGGCCTCCGTCACCTTGCGGACCCGCTCGGTCCCGGGGCTGGCCCATGCACCATCACTGGTCAGCTGCCACTGCACTCCCAGCAAGGTATGCTCCCTCGCAGGCGGCTTCTCTTTGGCCTCCTTCATACGGTATCCAAGCGTGGAGTGGAACCGTTTGAACGCCACGAAGCCTGTGACCCGCGCTGAAACACCTTTAGTTGCTCGGCACCGGTACAGTACAGGGTGACCGCGGCAGCAGCGCAAAGATACTTGAGTTTCATGTCGCTCGGTTGATATCGCAAATGGAAAGGACCAAAAAGGCTTGCGAGAAAAGTCAATCTGGAATTTGGTTTCAGAGAAATGTCCGGAACATGTCTAGACAAGCCCAGAAAATCTAGAAATAAGTCTTCGGTAAGAGTTTCCAGCCGGGGGGAAGGGACGTAGCAAGAAGAATTTGCCCGAGACTGTCTACATTAGGCAACTCCTCAGAAGTAGGCTGAAGAAAAGTCTAAAGAAAGTCCCGAAGATTGTCTCCGGAAGGGGGTGAGGCAGCCGGGTCACAATTCTTTAGACGTGTTCGACTTTCCTTTGCTCGAAAAAGTCGTTAACAGTCAGAAAGTCTCGGGGAGCCCCATCCACCCTCACCCCCTTCCGAAGAAACTTCCTCTAGACTTTTCCAGACTTCATTGAAGACTCTCTTGAGGACTGGTTGGAGACGGTTTTAGACATTTTGAGAACCCGTTTTTGAAGAGAACCTTCTTGAGCCAGGTTCATAGAAGTAGCTAGGGAAGCCAACCACAGAACTTTAGTTTCTTTACTCCCGGTTGCTCCGTCGGGCATTTTTCCCATAGGCAACCCACTACATGCTGGTGGTGAATTGCGTTCTGGTTTCCACGTCCGTTTAAAGCCCTCTCCCAATCCCCCAATAAACGATCGGGCGTCATGTGGACAAAGCGGCTTTAAGTCCATAAGCCCAAAAGTATTCGAAGAATCGAAGCCCGAACACAAACATTGAACTCCATGCCGACCTATATGATTCGGGATCGTGCGTAAGGCTTGATGTCCATCACTGCAGCTACTAGTAAGGCGAAACAGTGACAGCTGCATGGGCTGCTCAACCCTGACCCCGCTTTGACATTGGGGATGGCCATGGGTCGTATCTAACCTTGGGAGGGCACGCCTGCTTGATATGCAACCTGTTGCAGAATTATCCTTGCGGTGTAGACTGACCCGCAAACAACTGCCCTGTTTCAGCTCAGGCCTTGTGGAGCTTGCTTTTCATGGTGCTGCATGAGTCACCATTGAGGTTGGCAGTCAACAGCTCTGTGATGTACCGCTGTCCTTCAGGAAACCGGAAGCACAACCTTTCAAATCGATCAGGCCGCATGCATCGGTGAGTGTGCCATGTGCCTTCTCGCAGCTCCAGGAGCTTGGCCTCAAGACTTAAGCGGTGCTCGGCCAGAAGATGCCGCATCCACTGGTGTAGGTCCGCCTCTCAGTCTCAAACTCTCGAATCTGCGGAACACTGTAAATACTCAACGAATCAATGTGTCTTACTGTGTCTTCACAGACCTTGCGTAAGCTGGACACCGCCAACAAGACTTCTGCACGTCTCAACGGACTGTACCAAAAAGATCTCATACAGAGAGACGAGAGACGTTGTTGCGGAAATGCTCATCAGTGAGGCAAATCTCCCCACAAGTGCACGATGACGGTCACCCAGCCAATCTTGTTTCCGATTCTTACGGTACCCCACTGTGGTTTTTGCAGCGGCTGGTCGCTGTATTCCAACGAATCAACCGCTGCCATGTTGCTAGTACATGGAAGGACGCATGGAGATCAATCCGCCGAGGCCTCGGGCCGAAGCTGTATAGGTTGTCAGAACGTTGAAGCCCCGCCCCCCCCCCCCCCCTCCACCCGCCGGCCCCCGCCCCCCCCCCCCCGCCCCCCGCCCCCGCTTGACACTGCCACGGCCCCCCACCCCTGCCCCCCGGCTTTTGCCTGACGAACCTTGAACCCTAAACCCAAAAACCCTAAACCCAAACCATGAACCTTGAGCCCTAAGCCCTCAACCCGAAACGAACCCCAAACCATAAACCATAAACCCGGAACCCTAAACCCTAAACCCAACCCTTGTTGCTTGGGGTCCAGCGACTTGGGCGCTGCGCAATCACCATGCTCACGCGGATGCGCTGGGCCGGGCCGAGGCGGGTCGCGTAGCGTTAAAATTAGAGTTGCTTTTGCTCTTCGTACAAGTACAACTGGCAAGTAGAAATACTATTGTTTTGCTTGCAGCAACTGCTACGCTTACAGCACTGTCGCCAAAAACTCAGGCAGCTTCTTCTGCGGGGCTGCGCAATTCACTTCATTGAAAACTTTCCCTCCCGCCACAGACGTGCCACCTTGAGCGTGACCCTTGAACGAAAGGCTTGCAGCTTGCAGCTTGCCTCCTCCGCATCTCCATTGTGCATGGCCCTCGGCCGCGGTGCTATGAGATCTATGAGGCTCGCTGCAACATCACTTCTAGCCCGCCTACAGTCTGCGCATTCTGAACAGGGAGGCAAGACCAGCCGGGTTACGAAGTTATGGCTTTGCTGAGGTCCAGACAAGGGCGCTGCAACATCTCGCTCTGTAAGCGGCATGCTAGGTGCTTTTTGCACGCTGTATTTGTGCTTCCAGTAAACTATCCTTGTTTGGTTTTGTGGTTAGCGGCTCATAGCTCCGCTGATAGCTCCGCTGAGCATGCTGAAGGTGCACTTCAACTCTCTCTGATGCTGGGCAAGGTTTAGCACGTATCGGCAGGGCTATGCCCCTCTACGAGGGCCTGTCTATTGCTTGGACGGCTTGGAGCTATGGCCTGGTATCCAGTTGTTTTCAAGCCGACTTGGTGCTGAGGAGACTGACCCTTGCCAACAATCCGCAATGCGCAACTGAAGCAAAAGCAACTGCCTGATTGAATGAGCTCTGTCAACACACCTCTTTGTTCCACATGCCGGCGGGCGACCTCTACGTGTTTCGGAGAGGTGTGGGAGGTTCGTTAACAGGCCGTCTTGGCCCAGGGAGGTTTCTCACGCTTTTGGAGAAAGGCCGTCCCGTTCACAAGATACTTACAGGTAAATGTCTGCCGACACCCGGGTGGCGCCAGAGAAGCCTTGTCTGTTGTCAAACAAGGGTAAACCAGACCACCAAAATCCTCGCGCGTGCGTGCGCGAAGCGTCTGCGAGGCGTTCACAAGTGTCGCGTGACGACTGTGTAGTTGCGGAAGCCTTTACATTGTACATCATCTCGTGATGTCTTCGCGAGCGTCGCGGAGCGGCTGTCGTTGCGCAATCCTTGTGTGTTGGCATCGTTTCGAGTGATGGTGCGCGTCGCGCAAAGGCTGCACTCTTAGTAGTTGCAGGAGCCTGCATTTCGAGCCTTTCGCGATGTGTTTGTGTACATCACGTGGCGGCTGTAGTTGCGACGATGTGACACATGAGCTGGAAGGCCACAAACTTCGGGGTAGCAAGCGTGATAGACACGGCGAGATCGACACTGGGCACTCGGTCATGGACCGACTCCCCTGGATTCACAGATCAAGGGCACACTGCCCAAAGACAAGACACAGACTATGCCCTTTCGGATCTGTCGAAGGCATGCTTTTCTTGAGCCGGATCGATGTACTGATTCGACATGATGATGCCGGCACACCCAAGCCCGCCAAACAAACTCCATGCATGTATGTCATGCAGATGGGCGGTAGCCTTGTCCACTCTTGGAACGTATAGGGTCGTAGTGTACCACGTTCCACTACCAGAACGTACGAAATTGTCGATTATGGCATGTGCGGCCATAACGTATTCCGCTCCTGGATGTAGGCAATTCTGCAAAATGCTGCAAAAATGTTGGCCCGGAAACACACGAAAACGGCACGAATCAAGGGTGGTAAAACGTACGAAAACGTCTCACATTGTCACACAAATCACACGCGACTGTATGGTTGTTGCGGTATTCCACACCTGCAACGTACAGGGCGAACTGCGAACATCGAAGATCCGCAACGCTATGGAGTTCCAAAGTGGTATAGTATTGGGTTGAGGTATGCACCCGGCGCCCGCGGTCGGTAGCGCAGCCCTTGTTTTGGGCCTTGATTCAATTTATCATCAGACTCTTGCCTGTTGGTTTCCGGCTTCGGGGGTCGTACGTGTACTTTTTGGTTTCTGCAGTTGGGCGAAACATGTTTCGGCATTTCATGGCATTTGGCGCTGTTTCCAAGGTTGGCCGCGTGCGTCTGCGTTGTACGCTCCTCCTCCAGTTCAGAACTGTTGTCGTTCTGAGGCCAGAGTCCTGTGTGCACACTCCTCGCGGACAGCACTTTTGGCTTCGAGATCGTGCTCTCGCCTCGGTTCTATTCGCATACCCCTCGTTGAGTGCAGAACTGTTGCCATTTTTGGGCCGGGGATCGTGCTCTTGGCGATGTGCCTTCGTCATGGTCTTACACTGTTTGGGGTCTACGCCTACGCCGCAGACTATGTGAAAGCCCACTGAACTTCGAACATTGAGATATTCAGAAGAGACTTGTGCTCTGTAAGGAGCTGCACTCAGTCTGAGCGTGGGAAGAGTCCATACACCTGACAGCGCTGTGTGATCTGTGAAAGGCCGGTGAGTTCACATGACATCCGCGACAGGCCTTGTAGTCTCCGGGTGCTGGGCTGCAGTCGCTCGGTTTTGGCCCTCAGGCCCCGTGTGACTCCGTTCTTCACAGGTGACGATGTGGCATGGCATGTGGCTCGTCCGTGTGGTAGTCTTGACATGAACTTGGACACAGGCCGGAGCTTGCGCTCTTTGGCCGCATCTTGCCACCCTTCAAATTCTTGCCTCAAGTCAACCACTTACAAATCGCTACCTACATGCATGTACTCATACTGTCATACAGCCGTGCATCACAAGGAACAGAATGCCACAGACTATCAGCTATGGAAGTGACGATCTGAACCGCACTTATGTCGAAACGTTGCCATCAGGGTCTTTCGAGAGACTGCACCGCAACCTGATGAATCCGCAGGATCAATAGAAGCTGAACGACTACCGTACCCAAACACAAATAAACCCAAGCCTGTTTAGGCCCGTGGCTTCGGAAGTCTGTTGCGTAGTCACCTGGTCCAGGGCCTTGCAACAGCCGGTCGCCCATGCTGACAACATAAGCCAAGCATGACCAAGTGCAATGAGAACGAATTGAATGATGAAATATACCATCAAACCGAACCGACATGAAGCGAACCGTCCCGATCCGTCGTTAGCACACCACCAAACTGGAACCATTACCGCATTTGTTCAGCAGCCTGTCATCTCTGGAACCGCATAACCGCTGTGTTTCATTCTCAAGGACCCTCCACAGCTTGGTTTCAGAAACAGTTGGGCCAGACAATGAAGTCCAGTCTGAAACTGTTGTACTCCCTTTCGGGTGCCTGGCAAAGAGGAGGCGGTCCGCGGGGGAGTCCAATACTCAGTGTGTTGTAACCACAAATTGGAGATTTCCCAAATTTCCCAAATTTCCCAATTGAACACTTGAACTCTCCACTCCGGGGCCGACTGTCCGCTTGCCATCGCTTGCCACCACTGTCCCGAGTTGCAAAGTGTCCCGGTGAAAGACGGGAGCCCACCCCTCAAACAATTGTAGTAGAACCCTGAATAGAACGAACTGCATCTCTATGCTGAGTCTACGCTATGCAGCGGAGCCTTCTGCATGATCTGATGGCCGCAAGCGAGGGGCAGTGCCGAACACACAGCTCCTGGTGCGCCCTGCCGAAGCAGCTGTCAAATTCAGGTCCAGCTGTATGGAATGCCAGTCAGTGTATATACACAGCCTAGCAAGGTTCTGAGAAGCACGTGTTCGTTGCTAAGTGTTGCTAACATCTGCTACCAATAATAATACTCCATGCACACATGACAGATGTGAAGCTCTTTTCTCCAGCAGGCTCAAAGACCTTTCGCAATCGATCTCTTTGAAGCGTGAGACGTTCCACACACTGAGTGGTGAGATGGTGGTCGGCGTCGGGAGCTGCAGCTGAAGAAGGAACAAGTTTGCAGGCAATGCCAGTCGCATTGCACACCTGTAGTTTTTTTACAAATGGCATCTTACGGCACCCAACTCGAGGCATTCTTGCTAACCTTGCTACTGCTGGCAGATGTTGGTGCAAGACGTCTACATGTTCTTTTGCACCTGCTGCCATGAGAAGCCGCTGCTGATACGCGAGACTCGGATGACTGACAGAAGCAGTGCCTCCTCGTGGCTATAAACCGACTACTGATTATTTGACTTGCTTTGATGACTTGGGAGCGTGTGATGAGCTCGGGAAGAGTGGCACTCAGGTGTCAATGCTACACGTGTGTGTGTGTGGCTAAGCTAGTGAGACATGCGATCCTCTCCTCAAAGGGCAGGCTTGTTTTGCTCCTTGCAAGTGGGGCTGTTCTGTACATCAGCAGTTCAAACGTCCTTATTGAAACCCAGCTCGTCCAGAAGCAGGTCCTTCAATCGCTGGAAAGTCCTCTCGTTTCCAGCCGATTTCAGACAAGCAGGCAGTTGACATATGGGGGAGCTGCATGTTGTTGCCCATCGGCCTTTCAACGAGCTCCAACACTTTCTCCAGACGAGCAAGCCTCAGCTTGGAGTCGCTGACATCTGCCAATGTGTTGAAATTTGTGGCGCTTCAGTATGCCATGCGAACATATAATAAGCCAACGCAGCCTTTGCCGACAAGCCACCATCGGCTAGCCAAGCGACATGTGCATGCTGTGTACATGATGATCAACCAGATTCATGTAAACTATCAGTGACTGCATGGCATACGGAAACTCACAGACGGAACCTGCAAAAGGCATCTGAGTATGCAGTGCACCGCTAGCCAAGGCGAGAGCAGCGCTTTCTTCAAATCCTGGCAACTCATTGACACGAACTTCAAGATGTGTCTGCGTGTGGCAGCTTCTGCGCCCTTCCGCCACCCGTAGTATAAGAAGACATCGCCATGACAGCAAAAAGTTACATGTAGGATGGCTCAGGCAAGTAGTCACGGCTCAAGTCCTTGGCATCTGCCTGCAGGGAAGTCTTGCAGGGGCAATTGCCGGGCTCGTTCGAGAGGAAGTCAGAGACAGGAAGACAGACAGACACGGAAAAGGTGTCGAGAGTTGAAATGCTTTTCTACAGCTCACGGTACTTGTAGAAATGAGCAGGAAGCAGACCAGGGACATCGTGCTGAAGCTTCAGTGGCCTTGCCACTATCCAGATCGTTCGTGTAGACGTTGTCCACGCCTCGGCTCAAAAACGCCACTTGCCACCTGTCCCTGTTTCCGAGGCATAGTGCATACGGTGTAACCCTTCCGTCGCCACCCCATTTGCAAAACCATCCAAAACCATCCTCGTAGAGGGGCTTGGAAGGATGCATTTAGTATTTGCAGCAATTCCTCTCGACGATGCGCTCCGATTGAAAAGCGGCGGGTTTGGGGGACGGGGGGAGGGGGGGCCCTACCCCATTGCAAAACGACGCCCCTACTTATGTGTAGATCCAGTGAAGTGGCTGGCGAGGGACGTCGCTTTGGGGGTTAAGGGCGGCCTTCCTCGGTTCCTTGTCTTCTTGGTTCCTTGCTTGCGCTGCTCGTCTCCCTTTCTTCCTTCCTTCTTTCCTTCCTTTCCGTCTTCCCTCCCTTCCTTCTTGCCTTGCTGGCCTTCTCTGCATCTTCGACAAGCTTTCGTTGATTCTGAAATATTTGCGGATCCCTATGAAACTTTTTTGGAAACCACTGTCCCGGATCCCGTCCGTGTAGACTTGGTGCGTGTGTCACTGCGTGCCTGACTTATGGCACCTTTAAGCAAGTTTATATAAGTTGATCGCAGAAGAATGCAGTGTGGCAGCAAAATTGTCATGCTTGCAGCAACAATGTGTGCTAAATATGTGTCAAGTGCAAAAAGCCTCAGTTTCCTGCCCTGGCACTCCAATTTGTGGGCCTTGCGGACTCTGCCAACTCTGGCATGTCTGGCATGGCTACACACTGCTACACCATGCTGCACCCATGCCACCTTAACTACAATGCAAACACATCTTCATACCACTCAATTAATTCCAGCTAGTACGGGTACTGATCAAAAACCTACCAAGTAGGCCCACATGGCCGACCTGCGCTTCCAGCTGAGCCAGTTCTGTCCGAACTGCTCCCCGCTGCTCCTCGCGCGAAGCAGTCTTCCATTTTCCGCAGAACCCTTCGTGCCCTTGCGTATCGGGAGGGAAGAAAAAAGGGGCTGCCATGTGCGACGTACTCAAACTGCTTTGCTTCTGCGCATTGGCTTTGGCGCAGTGGCAAGCATTCCCCTGTGGGGAAAGATGGCAGAGGCTACGTCTCAGACTGCCGGCTTATTTAGGATTTCAACGCAGAGTTTTGGAAAACCAGAATTGGATGAATGGCACGTGGACGTTAGGCAGTGTGCATCAGGCTCTTTGGCTGTGCAGATGCCGCGTCAACGCCATCCAGCTATCAGCGTTTTCGAGCAGAAAGAAGCCAGTATTGCTTTGTGTCAGCACGCCTTTTGCCTGGAACAGCTCAGACTTCCAGGGTGGAAAGCTCGACCATTGCTTCAGATGCCAGAGTCTTGAAGCGGAGGGCTTCAGCATAATCTCGCGCAGCCTGAGAATGCAGGGACACTCACGATGGCCAGTGCAAAACCTTCCGCAGCTGGAGGCAGTTCTGACTGACACGACTTTCGGCCAGTACGTCGCATGTCTGAAACTGCTCTTTCCAAGATTCTGCTGCGAGTTTCTCTTGTGACTCCTCGGCCGGCAAAAGACCGCACTGCTGCCCAGGGACGGCTTGTCAAGCCAAGTCAAGCCAAGAAACATACTTGAGGATGTCTTCGCGCAAGCGCCGCTTACGCAGCCAGTTCACCTGAGCCGGGCTTGTAAGTGCACAGAGAGAGGGAGGGAGAGAGGAAGAGAGACAGAAAGACAGATGGAGTCTTTTGGCGTGTGCTTAACGGCCCAAGGCCCCCGCGTAGGTGGGCAGTGCCTCTGCACGGTCGGAGCTTTGCTGCAGAAAGACGTAGGCATGGGTGCCGAAGTTCGGCATGGACCTCTCAACCACAGCCATTGTAAACTTATTCAGTTTTAGGTCTGCTCCAGTCCGGATCTAGCTCAACCACTGCTTCAGGTTGCTATGTAGGAATGTGGATCGCCAAAGACATGTACCGCAATGGGGTGGATTTATCGGTGTCGGCCTCAGGCCGATTTTCCCCAAAATCTCTCGGGGGTTGGGTTCTCCTTTAGGTCTTCAAACGGGCGCGTCGCGATACGTGGTGCGGATCCACCACAGGGAGGCCGCAGGATGGTGCGGCGCCGGAGGTTACGGGGTGCGGCGCGGGCGGTGGGGGAGCGGACCTTGTCGTGTGGAATGGAAAGGGGCTTCTTGTGCCTCCTAAAACTCGGCACGGGGCTGGATTCTCATTGATTTGCAGTAGAAGTTTAGTACTGGAATCGCGGTTTCGGTGAGCTGGCTGGATTGTCATGGTCAACAGTAACAAGAACGGTAGCAAACAAACTGCTGTATGGTGTCAGCGCAGGGGTTTTGCACAGGGCTCCGTACTTGCCGACCAAATTAGCTTGCGAGTACTTCTGCGAACGGTTTTTGGGTTCTCAGGTTGAGTCTGCTTTCGGCGAAATTGAAAGCGGTGCAAATGATGAACGTTGCAACGCACGGATTCTGGAATATCCTGGACTCACCAGTAACTAGACAACGTGTTCCGATCCCTCGGGCCCTTCTTGTTCTCGGTCGTGCCTGCTTCTGATGCCGTATGTCAAATTTTATGTATGAGGTCTCTCGATGATCAGAATCTGAAGCCTTATGTACCAAACAGGTTCCGCTACCCTCGACCACAATTCACGGCTAGGCGGCTAGACACAACTGAGCCAAGGGGCATCAAGTGCAGCGAACCTCCCAGGTACCTACGGACTGATGGAGCATACTAACTGATGAAACAACGGGTGATCATGAACCGCTCTCAAGTCACCTGGCAGCCTCACACTCACATGCCTTCGAGTGCGCATTCCTGCTACTTGCGAGAGCCTGTGTATAAACCGGGATGCTTGTGCCATCCACGCAAGCTTTGACATTGAAGAGTCAGAAGCATTGAGGCTTTAGAACATGAAATGCAGACTTGCGCCCAGTCCAAGCTGCTCAGCATACAGGCGGGACAAGGGCAATCCGACGCCATATCCTGAGTCAAAGAGTGCAAACTGCAGCAAAACATCAAGAAACACTGCTCAAATGTGCTCAGCCAAGTCTCCCGAAAAGGAGGTTGGGCTGGAGCCCTGCATCGAATTCAGTCTCTGTCAGATTCGCCATAACACAACTTCATGGCTTGATTGGCTTCATGCTCCGGATCAGCTTTCGGGATTGTTTGGAGCTTCGTGCCTCTTGAAGAACACGGCCGGTGGCCTCGCACACCTCATTTCCCCTGCAGGGTGGCCACTGCACGTTTTCCACAGCTGCCTACGCTTTATTTATCTTGATCATAGATAGCACAGCTTTTCCACGGTTTCAACAAGTCAGCCACACGCAGATTTGCAGATATGCATTCCGGCCATCGGTGCCATCCTTTATTTGGTCTCCTCCACTGAGATTATAAACAGAAAGAGTCCCTGCCTTGCAGTGGAATACATATAGCCTTGGTGGCCATCAGGTTTGCAAGTCTTCTCTTTGATGCAAGTGATGATGCAAGCATCTTCTGCTGAGTGACTCCAGACGTGGGGCTGGCGCTGGAACGGGATGCCGCCTCCTCCACTGATGTGTTCTGTGCGAATCATGAAGTGCTGCCGCGATCTGCGAGGAGTCAATTAATCAGAATTGTGTCCGCTTGCAATTCCTGTAGTTCCTAAAGCGCAACTTGCGCAACCTCCCCTACTCGCAAGTCTTAACACACTACACATCCGAACGGAGCAGGGAACAACGCAGATGGATGACATAAACAATGCGAGCCACGGGTTTTGTTTGTCCTTGTGAAGCAGGGTACAGTGCACCAAGAGTGCAAGCTCATACAGTCCTAATGGCCTCTACTAGCACAAGATTCTAAAGCCGACGACTGTGAAAACGCATGGATGCAGACTATACTCTCTGGACACTGCCAAGACGTGTGGGTGTGCAATGATGGACAGGCTGACTTCCAGCCACGTTCCCCGTCATCCACTGCAGGGCCTGGTGCGAGCCTCAAGCCTCGAAAGTTTTCCTGTCACTGGAAGTTTTAAAGAAGACCCGCGCTGCCTGAAGTCTCTCTCTCTTTCTTTTCCTTCTTGGGGGCATGGGGGCAAGGCCCGGGGCGTAGTGTCGGTCGGAGAAGAGCGTTTTGAGTTGAGGGTGGCGCCTTTGCTATGAAGTCTCCCTCTCTCTCTCTCTCTTTCTCGCTCCCTCTCTCTCTCTCTCTCTCTCTGTCTGCAGGTTGCCACAGAATATGGGAACGAAGCGACAAGTTCATGCAGAGTATGAACCCAAGCGGTTTCGGAACAGTCTCGCCTCGGTCCATCACTAGCAGCGCAACCTGCAAGGTGTCTGTTACACATCGACGCGGGCTTACCAAAATCTTGGAAAAGGTATATTGGAGCACCTCCAACATAACAGAACGCAACATACTATAACATTCTGTAACATAATAGAACACAATATAACATAATATAACATACGATAACATACTATAACATATCATACAATAATATAACATAATATAACGTGATATGATACCATAAAATAGCGCAGTGTAACATAATATAACATAATATAACATAATATAACATAATATAACATAATATAACATAATATAACATAATATAACATAATATAACATAATATAACATAATAAAACATAATATAACACAATATAACACAATATAACATAATATAACAAAATATAACATAATATAACATAATATAACATAATAAAACATAATATAACATAATATAACATAATATAACATAATGAAACATAATATAACATAATATAACATAATACAACATAATAAAGCATACTATGACATAATCTAACATAATATAACACAGGATAACACAATATAACATAATATAACATCATATAACATAATATAACATAATATAACATAATATAGCATAAAGTAACATAATGTAACACAATATAACATAATACAACATAATATAACATAATATATCATAATATAACACAATATAACACAATGTAACATAATGTAACATAATATAACATAACATAATATAACATAATGTAACATAATATAACATAATATAACATAATATAACATAACATAACATAACATAACATAATATAACACGGTATAACATACTATAACATAATGAAACATAGTATAACAGTGTATAAGTATACCATACTGTATTTAGATACACATGGTTGCAAAAAGCAAATGGTCCCACCTGGGACTCGTCGCTTGCCACACGGATCTGAACTGGCTCCTAGGAAAGTAAGTGAAAGGGCCGTTCAACGGCTTTGCGGAAGATTTACAGTCAAGATTATCGAATTTGGCAAACCGCTCGGGAGTACGTCTGAATGTGAGTTCGGCCAAAATGCCAAAGAAACAATGCATGCGCAAATGCTGTCAAAGCAGCTGGCTCGGCTCGGCCGCTCGGGTTGGCCTCATGCAGCTCCTGGGCTCTTGGAACTTTGTGGAACCCCCGACTCTTGCATCGGCAGGCTTTCATGACGTTTCATGATATGTTCGTGACAGGCTACGACGCCGCTGCGACTCTGCTTATCTCCCCTTATGCCAGCACGCAACAGTTGCCGAAAAGACCTTGTTGAAAAGAATTCTCAAAAGATGAGAGAATTGAGACTCGTAGTGTGACAAGACTTCTAAATGTGCAAAGCATCTGCAGAAGTAGTTCACAAAGATCTGGTGGAATAATTCTAGTCCAAATAAAAGATGAAAAGCTATAAGAAAATCTTCCACGAGAAGCGAATTCCAGAAAGAAACACAGCAGCTATCCAAGAAAATAGTGCTGAAAAATATGCTGCTAGATCCTTAAACCGTGTTTTACGTAGAACAAAACAATCAGGCAAATGCTCAAAAAAGTCTGAATGCAAGCTCACTTGTTTACGTGATTCACAAGTTTATTGTGGGTTTTCTCTAATGAGAAGAAGGTAGGATGGCAAAAGACGAACGAAAATGAGGCGTTCGCAAGCTGACAGAAAAGCTAGTACTGCAATAAGACCGCTCCGCGGGGTTGGAGGCACATGAAGGCAGTAGTTCTGTGGCGTTCTTCAACGTAGTTTCATGGATGCCAAGGGACAAGAAAAAGCGGTACTAAGACTAGGTGCCAGTAACAGTAAAAATTAACATGGAGGCATGGACTGATGGATGGACGGATGGGACGGCACACAATGTACGGCTGCCAAAGGGTTCTGTCCCCGCCACCATCTCAAAAAGGCCTCCCCAAGCGTCATCAGCCCTCCGGCAAAGGCTCGAGGCCTCTGACTGGCCACCCCATGCAAGCAAGAAGTGAGTCCATTCACACCTGGCGCTCAAAAAGCACAGGCCAGGAACTGATGGCCACTGCCCAGAGTGAGTGCGCCATAACAGCTTGGACTGCGAGGACAAGCCTGCTTGGCAACTCTGCGGCAGCAGGCTGCGGAAACCCAACCAACTCCTTACTTTGGGAACAGATATTGAGCCGAAGTCACTTTAGTCTAGCTGGTCCTTGTGCTGTTCAGTAGTGAAAGATACTAGTCACAATAACACACAACTGGAATTTAGCACACGCTCAAATTGTTTTCGACTGTAAAGAGACAATAACACAAACATAATAACCCAATGAACTTTTGTACATGGCTTTCACGCGCTCACCCGATTATGAATGTCATCCAAACGCCAGGGCTGCATGTTCGCTGCTTCACAATGTATTGGCAATGTCACACGGAAGGCACATCTTGCCTGGCTATACCTCCGACATGTGTCCAGGCTGCAAGCTTTCAAAATCCAGTGTAACAAAAACAGTAGCAACTGCTGACAAACACTTGTGACCAGTCTGAGGCTCACCAACCGCACGAAGACTGTTCTTCAAAAGCTCCGCCTTGGGCGCAGGACCCTTCCCGTTCCCTTCGTTGCCAATCAACTTGGTTTAGAACTCGCCATCAACCACTCTGTGCACACATGCAAGCCGAGATACAACAATATACAGAAGATATTGTGGGATCAGCGGCAGTGTGCGAGCGCGCTCATTGCCGTGGAAGGAGATCTCTATTCTTGGAACTTTCCTGCTGTCAGGCAATTTGTTGAGGTCGCTTCATGGCAGTTCAACACATGTTCTGCAGGGTACAGGTTTCGCTTGTCAAAGATCGACGGCGGTCATTCTCTGGCTGCATTTGCAAACCAAGTTGGTGTCGGCTGGTCTGGTCGGCTCAGATCCAGCGAAGCAGTTGGGTCTGTCTCGGCCGTTGCCCATGTTTGCGCACAGGGCCTAGAGCACCCCAAGAGCACCCTCAAGAGCACCCTCAAGACCACCCCAAAAGCACCCCAAGAGTCCAAGAGCACGCAAGAAGCAGTCGTAGAACACTTTTCCATGTTCCTGAACAAAGTCAAAAATTCTCCATTTCGCGGGGTTTGTTGCTGTTTTTGTTGCTTTCCTGCTTGGACTCTGCCACGGCCCACACCCACCAACAAACCCAACCCCCCAGCCCCCGCCTCTCCTTGACCCTGAGGTGGCCCTAACTCCGTCAAAAACTATCTCTATCAATCCAAAGCGATGACAGCGCAACCCGTTCCAGAGCCCAAGCAGCAGGAAAGATCATCCACGCCTGTACAAGGGAGGAAGATGTACCCGCAACCCTGAAACCCTTTGAACCTCGCAGCAATGAAAGACTGCACATTCCACCCTGCTCTACGCCACTACCACCCTGAACGTTAGACCCTGATCATCCTTTGAACCCTACACTGGCCCTACACTCCACCAAAACAACCTGTTGAACCCAGAGTTGCTCGCACGTCTCCGCACGGCCCACGCACGGACTCCAAATTCTGCGCCCAGCTTTCATGGAATGTCGAGTCGAGGTTGCGATTCGACCCCCTACAGCCCCATTACGATTTGTAGGGTTGTAGTGTGGACTACGTCCCCTCTACAGCTTTACGATCGGATTTGGAGGCATGCTCAGCGACATTCGACTTGTCCCTCGCGCCCGTGCCAACCACTCTGCACCTAACTGCACCCCTCCCCCCATGCAAAGCCTCTCGAGATAAACAGCTACCCAAATACTTTAAACCTGAAACATCCCATCAGCCCTTGACCCTCCGCATCCTGCGGGCGCAAACCTCAGAATTCAACTAAATCTTAGACATCCCTTAAACCCTAAACCACGCTCGTCAGTGCGTGCGCATGTGGAAGTTGCGGTGAATAAGGGTTTCCTGTTTTTGCTTGGTCTGCTGGGTTCACTCGCGTCCATAGCGCCGAACCAGCCCGCCTGCCCGCGCACGCACGCACGTAGATGAAATAACATCAGGTTGTATTGCAACTCCATTGACATCAGGCAGCAAACTGGTGCGCTGTCCTCAGGTATTCGCCAGCCTCAGCTTGCTGAGCATTTGCAAACACTACGATATACTACGATGTGCCGTATGACATATGTATCGTATGAAACTTTGGAAACTAGTTCATACAAATTCAATAAAGTCAGCTCCTACGGTCAGGACTTTCTCTACGGATTTGAGGTAGTTGTAGCAGTAGCAGTAGCAGGTAGCAGGTAGCAGGTAGCAGGTAGCAGGTAGCAGGTAGCAGGTAGCAGGTAGCAGGTAGCAGGTAGCAGGTAGCAGGTAGCGGTAGCAGTAGCAGTAGCAGTAGTAGTAGGAGTAGTAGTAGTAGTAGTAGTAGTAGTAGTAGCAGTAGTAGTAGTAGTAGTAGTACTAGTAGTAGTAGTAGTACTAGTAGTAGTACTGGTAGTAGTAGTAGTAGTAGTAGTAGGAGGAGTAGTACTAGTAGTAGTAGTAGTAGTAATAGTAGTAGTAGTAGTAGTAGTACTCGTACTAGCAGTCGCAGTAGTAATAGTAGTAGTAGTAGTAGTAGTAGTAGTAGTAGTAGTAGTAGTAGTAGTAGTAGTAGTCGTCGTCGTCGTCGTCGTCGTCGTAGTAGTAGTAGTATAGTAGTAGTAGTAGTAGTAGTAGTAGTAGTAGTAGTAGTAGTAGTAGTAGTAGTAGTAGTAGTAGTAGTAGTAGTGGAGTAGTAGTAGTAGTAGTAGTAGTAGTAGTAGTAGTAGTAGTAGTAGTAGTAGTAGTAGTAGTAGTACTAGTACTAGTAGTAGTGGTAGTAGTAGTAGTAGCAGTAGTAGTAGTCGTAGTAGTAGGAGTAGTAGTAGTAGTAGTTCTAGTAGTAGTAGTAGTAGTACTAGTAGTAGTGGTAGTAGTAGTAGTCGAAGAAGAAGAAGTCGTAATAATAGTAGTAGTAGTAGTAGTAGTAGTAGTAGTAGTAGTAGTAGTAGTGGTAGTAGTAGTAGTAGTAGTAGTAGTAGTAGTAGTAGTAGTAGTAGTAGCAGTAGTAGTAGTCTGCTCTGGCAAGCCGAGACGCTACCCCAGATACCTGCTTGGCGGCATGGGCGCAGACTTGGCATGGGTCACAATGTAAGTCAACAATTCCTGCCACCGGAACGGGAAGTTCGAAGACTGGTGAGGAGCACACGACAGCTTTGGTATAGACGGCAGACCCATATCCCCTCCCTAGGAAAAGATTCTGACTTGCTGAAGGGCCGTCTGGAGCACGTGAAAGTGCCAGGAACTGTGATGTGAGCGTCTCCATGCCGATGCGGGAGAGGAACAGACGATTCAAGAAGTTATCGATGAATATCCGTGTCTCATGATATGGTTGCCCTTTCTGCCGCTGCAAGTCCTGAGAATAAAACATCAGCATCGCTGACCAACTACAACAAATGCCGCTTTGCTTCATCTGATGCGAAAACGAAAAGGTGAACACAATAGTCGGGTGAGAAACCATGGTGTAGCTGTGTGGAATGTACGTCAAGCCAAGCATCTCCCCACTGCTTCATACCAAGGGTGAGCCGAAGCGCATGGTGCTCATTTCCTTGTGGGTAACACATGGTGACGGTAGGCTGCCGCTATCTAGTGCATTCTTGCATGTACCCCCGTCCCACTTCTTTCAGTCAGGCTTCTTTTCTTGAAACGCCGTATGACACTGGCAAAGTCATCCGGTCGAGCGGCTCGCACTTCTGCAAAGGCTTGAGCGAAGTCATCCCGCACGCTGCAGATTTCCGGCACCTCCTCACTTTAAAACACTGGGTTTGCCGATGGCACAGACTATGCACACCGAACATGTTGAGATTGATGCTAAGAATGGTCATCTCAGCAACACCAGCACAGTGCTAACGCTCCCACTCAGCCAGCAATCACTGATGTCTCATGAGTCACATGCTGCGGGGACAGATCCTCCAAATCTGGAAGCATGTCCAGGTGGGCGATGCCTGGGCCGGGCATGGGCACACACTTCACAGCTTTCATCAGCTTTCAGAATACCCCGCATCGTGGAACATCGCACGCTTCAAGAGGTTTGTTTGGCAGCTGCCTTTGACGCCAGGACAGCCCTCCCACATGTTTTGACTCGATGTAGAAACATCTAAAGTTGTAAGCAGGATGCGATTGGCCAGTCTGATAGGAAGCTCCTCCTGTCATGCAATACCAGGAGAACATCAACATGAGAGCAACGAATGCAAGCAACCGCGTCCTGAAGCGTAGAGGTCAAGCCTTCTGGTGTTTTCATGGCCTTATCACTGGACAAGCGCACAGCTGTGAGCGGAATGCACCTGCCTTCGCACGGACGATCACGGACGTGAAGCTTCACGCAGGCTCTTCAAGGAAGCTTAGCAAGGGCAGGGTACGCACTGCCAAGCGGCCAAGATTTCAGTCAGGCGCAGTGGCGTCGGCTGTCGCCTGAATCGACCACAGAGATATACGTGGTCGGGCAGAAGAAAGTATATGAGCCAGAAACAAGACGAGAAAGAGGGAGAGAAAGCTAAATTTTAAATAAAGGAAGTGACCGATGCGCTCTTATGCGGATGCCGACATGGGAGACCCAGCAATGACGAAGTGTGCAAAAAAGCCACTACCGTGTGCTCTCTGTGTTGTCCCTGGGAGTCCCGCCCTGCGAACTCAGCAAGCTCTCCGGTCAAGTGCTCGGTGCTTGGAGAAATGTCCGGAGAACTGATCCCCAATGACGACCTTGTGGCAGGAATGGCCCCCCGCACCCTGCAGGACTTTTTGATGCGCTACAGAAACGGTGGTCACTAGACTCTAGACATAATTACATAGACCGTGCATGGCAAGCCAAGCTTCGGAGCTCTTCCAAGTGAGGTGCTGGCACCCAGGACGGATCCATCCTGATAGCGCCCATAGGACAAAATGATCCTTGTAAAGAACTTGCCAGGCCGTCGATGATGATCCGCATCAAAATGCGCTCTAAGCGACACCAGATAATCAGCAACGTTAAAACAGAAACATCTCAACCAAACATCGTAGCAAACAAACCCCCATCAACGAGCGCAAACAAGAATGTGTTTTTGGCTTTGCAGCTTCATGTTACAGATCATCCGGATCATTCTTGGCCATCGCTATGTTGCAGCGGTCTGGGCGTGGCAGCTGATGTGATGAACACATGTTCATGTCTCAGGCCTACTGGAAGCCGTGTGCTTTTCAAGGGCAGATACATTCCAGCTGAGGGGGCATTCCTGGTATCCCCACCATGAAACTGGATCGTCGCTGAACACTTGCTAGCTTCGAATGCAACAGCCGGTAGTAGCCCCAATAGGCTACCATCGGCTGCTTGCGCAGCTCATGGCCAAGCTGCTGAGATGCTGGCGTCGACCTGAAAACACCACGCACTGGACTTTCATCCGTGGCTTACAGATTACCCGGCACCGCATCAAATTCGGATGCAAGCTTCCGTTCTCTAAACAGCAGAATGAAGTTTTGTTTCTAAGCAAAATGCCCCTTCAGGTCTACAGGGGCAGACTTCTACCCCACCCCGCCTGCATCCAGTCTCAGCGATCACCGTGCTCGATATCTTAAGTCATTCTTATGCCACCAGCTGTGGCGAAAACATTCTGCTTAGCAAAGCACCGTCCAACGTCGAGGTGGGGGACTTGCTTTGCGATGAGCGGCCTCCAAAGGCCAAATGGGCGCGGCCGAGCTCGAAGAGCTGGACCGGAGTCCACGACCTTTCAGGAACAAGATGGAACAAGCACGAAGCGACAGCGAGCCACGTGAGTCCTTTCTCTCGAAGTTCTTGTCATTTGGTCTCGCCTCCACGTTGCAGCGCCCGAACCAGGTACCGAGCCATGTGACGTAAGGGGCTGCAGACGTGCGATGACGAGGGTGGAATGTGGGCAGGTGCCAGCAGCATGCACCTCTCCATTAAAATGGGTTTTTGTTTCACAGGTGCAGCAACTAGCCACGCTCTCATTGGCCAACCAGTTCTTACACGATGTTGGTTTGGAGACTTGCGGCCAATAACCAGAGGACTGGACTCGTGAGCAAAGAAAAGCACTCTCAACTGCGGCAACGAGTATGTTGACTGCAACGCACTGCACATCTACGTTACATAACTGTGTTCACGGCTGTCAAACTGAACGGCCATTGCCCTGCAGAGTTAAGGCAAGGCCAGAACAGGCAAGACATGTTGACTGGGCAATGTCTGTGACAGCACAGCTCCTCACTGTCCAAGGGCAACGCAGAAAGCTCCTCCACTCCTTGGAGGGCCGAAGTGACCAGCATTTCGACCAGCATTGTGACCGGCATTGCGATCAGCATTGCGATTGGATGCATGTAGCAAGCCGGTGCCAATGTTTTGGATGTGGTCCCCCCGAGGCCCGCAAGTGTCCCTTCCGCCATCGCTGAGGACGCCGCGAAGCTGCAAGGCCTGAACCTCCCAGAGCACAGAGGTACCATGAGGTAGTGAGGTACTGGCAGATAGAGTAGCTTGGCTCATGGTTACCAGTACGAGCTACGAGTACAGAACGTATAGTACGCCGCCTCAACCTCGATGGCGGCAAGCTGTGACAGTGCTCCTTGGCTTTGCACCTGTCAGGATCTGTCATGTCAACAACGACGCAGGTGAAACATTAGCGCCAATTTCAGCCAGCAACCGATTCAGCTCCCCGGACAATACGATGCGTAAAGTCTTTCTGGCGTGTGTCACCGTGCTAGCAGGCTGCGGCCGTGTTGGCTTGGCGAGATCCCGTGCGAGCACACACATTACTTGTGACAAAATTTGGCAGACTATGGCTATGGCTCATCTCATACGAGATCATATGAGATCTTCCATGTTGCTCGCACCAGCAGTTGCAAGTTGAAAGGCGAGTGGCACTGTACCAGCGAGGCACTTCCCGCGGCTGTCGGCGCACAGTGTTGTCTGCCTGCCCAGTTGCATAAGCTTGCAAAATAAATTGTCAAACGATGGCAAAAGGGTATCACTGGATTGGACTGCAATTCCCTGCTCAGTCTTGCTCACACTGTAGCTTGTTTGGCCGACTCCTGCCTGCAGCTGGACTGAAGAAAGCAAAGACTTGCGCAGATGTGCGCAGATGTGTACGCCACATTTCTTAGGGGATGACATACGATGACTCTTGCAGCGACTGTAGACATCTGTAGACTGACAGCATGTAAGTCGACCTGTGCTGTGGCCTTGTTACTCAGTCAGTGACCTGACAAGCAAACCCTTCCGCATGTAAGTACGGCAGATTATGGTAGTAAGATTGTCGTTGCTGCGAACGGTTGCTGCCGGCTGCAAAAACGAGAACGCCCGAAAAAGTCGAACAGTTCAAAAGAAGATTTACAAAACACGTTCATGCGTCAAGCTGGAAAATGCCCCCAAAAGTCAATGCACGCTGAACGAGTCTTCAGTCTTGAAGCAAAGACGAAAGATGACGAAAAAGTACTTGCAAAATGCGAAGAGCCATCCAACTCGGCCATGAAACGGCGGGATTAGGGTTCGGCATGCAAGCGGTGGGGCACCGACCCACGCATTAATTCACAGCCATCGACACAGTGCCTGCCAAAACCTTCTTGTGAGCTTAGTTGCTAAGCTTGTTTGCGTCCCCAGCCTGTGCACTTGCCAGCTCTGCTATGCGTCGTTGTTGTTGCTGCGGAAGTACGTGAGCTTGAACACGCAACCAATGTCACATCATTTTCAGACGCAGCTGACTTCAACAAACACTTCTGACGCACGTTCCATGTGGAAAGTGCATGTCACGTGCTCACTTGTGCCCTTCCACATCCAACTTGTCGCAGCTTCTACACCATGGCAACCCATCGCAACTCTGCTCAGCCTTCTCCTCGCCCTCCAGTTCTGCAGAGTTCCTGGAATAGCTAAGTCTCTGCTGCGAGCAGTGCCAGGTCAGATGCTTCCTTGTTTTGCAAAGCACAGCAGGAGCCTCGCAGGACGCATGGTGGCTGCTGCACCCGCGGCCTTTCAGGAACCAATGCTGACGCATGCTGACGTATGCTGACGCATAGGCTGGTGTGCCTGAAAATGAGGCACTGCGGAACCTATGGACTCCAGGGCTCTCATTTTGTGGCCTTTCTATGCCTTTCACCTGTGATAGCATAGCACAAGCTGAGTTCTTCACGCAGAGGCTCTGAAAGAGGCTCTGAATGTTTCCACACTGGTGTTCGGGTTGCACCTTTGTGCTGCATTTGTGCTGCCCGCGGCTGCATACTCCGCAAGCTTGGGCTGCCCAACGCTTCGGCTCAGTGTGCTCTTGTTGAATCGTCTTGCAGTATGTCGTAGACATGTCGTACATGTAGACCACAGTTTGCTCGAACCACTTCATTATGATTATTCTATTGTAAATGCGCCATCCCGGCTGGTGGGATAGACGCAAAAGCCTTCACGTTTTGTCCATAGGGCCGTATGCTAAAAGGCCCGAAAGGGGTCTAGTATGGTCTAGTGAACTTAGCACCGGTGGCCACACACTGCAGATTCTTTTGAGCCGTGGGCGGGGGAAAAGGGGCCCAACCCTTGGCCATAGGGCGTGGAAAATTGCAACGCCAAGCTTTGAAGCAGGTCGGGGCTGGCCCCGAGCGGAAGGTATGCCATGCAGTGCTTGCAAGTGCTTGCAAGTGCTTGCAAGGTACTACGTCGTTACTACGTACCTTGGGTGTTCGCGAGGTGATAGCGGCGAGAGGGAGTCCAAATGCCGCCACTTCTCCAAACGCAGTTGTGAAATCAGCGGGCTTCAAAGACCCGATCCATTTGCCCCACATCGGGTGGCTGGTGCAGAGAAGGTCACTGTCTTCAATGCCTGCGGAGTTTGCGCGAGTTCGGTGGACTTGTGAGAGTAGAATGCGTCGTGCTCGCTCGTGTGCAGAGTGTGTCTAATGCCCGAGTCAGGAACACAAGCGCCGGCATGGATCTCTGAAGCTTGAGTGAAAGCAGCATCCCGCTACTATCTGCAGTAGGGCGTGAAAAAGATATTGGAAAACTAAAGATATCAATACTGCCAGTTCTGGGTCCTTCGTCGCGTCTCGACGCATTCGAGTCTGCAAGCCAGGTTGTTGCATGCATTAATATGACATTGTCGAACCGGTATCAAACTCGGACGTCTCGCCAACTTGTCATCTCATCTGTGATATCTTGCCGGGATGGCCTGACTTGTTGGCGGGGTGTGCATTCGACCTGCGCTGGCCTCCCATGCCGGGTGTGCTTTGTATGGGCAAAGCACATTGCCTACACTGCACACATACCAACATAATCCATTTTATACCATGCACATCAACCTTGCGATATCTTGCTGTGGCTTCTCCATGCTTCTCTGATCAGCGCTCTTTGACCTTGCCCGCCGCCGGCATCGTCGCGAAGTGGCGCTGAGCCGAACTGGGCAGCCGCTAAAGGAGAGTTCCAACACGTTTTCAGCCTACGTAATCGTCAGTACCCCCCATCCTGGCCCGGCTCTTCTTTTGCAGACTTGCCTGGCAGCATTCCGGTCCTCTCGGAGGACGGCGGCTCCTGTCCGGCCAAGAGTGCCATTGCCTGGCCGATCACCAAAATCACATCCGATGGGCCTGTAAGATTACATTAATGAACATGTGCTGTCCATTCTTTGTTGAGCCTATTTGGGCGCTGCCATCTTTACCATCTCACACTCAAGCTGAAGCCAAACAAAATTTGAAAATGTCTCAAAACGCCTGCTGCAGCGGCGTTGCCGCGGTGCACTTGCGCTGGCTTGTGCGGGGCCTGACCAATGAAGTCTTCAAAGCTGTGCTCACAGCTGCTAACTTCCTGACGCGTCTTGCTCTGGCCTGCGCCCCGCGCATCCTGCCCCCTACCTCAGGAATACACGGACTGTCTACACATCGCATCGTAGCACGTGAATACCTGAGCGATTTGCTCTATTTTACACTTGCCACATCCGGTCCTGCTTGCTTTCACAAAATTTGTGCCACGCCCTGCTCACTCACATATCTGACCCTGAGAAGTTCAAACGCGCTCACTTTCAAAATGATACAATGACAATCAATACGCTACTAGATCTGTTCCCCGCGTGATTTGTAACTTGCGCTCTACTTCTTGAAACCAATAAGAGCCAGAGGTGATTTTGGATCTTTGTCGACTGTTTGCAGCACCGACCCCTGCTCCGTCCACCACGGCTTTCCGAATTTTACGACTTGTCATGACGCACCGCTCCGCGGCATAGTACCCCATCATATCCAGACCATTCAGTCATTAAACTCGCATTTCTCTCTGATGAGCACGTGCAACTTTCTGACCGCCGCATTGTTCTGTGGCTTGACAGCACAGTGTGCTTGGAACAGGAAGACACGTACAGAATCGAAGTTCAGCTTGACCTTTAGGGCTGTATGGAACCTCGCACAATTTACATTGTGCAAGAGGCGGAAAGCGCTACGATGTCTGAACGTTTGAATACAGAGTAAGGTTCCAGGATATCGTTGGTGGATAACAGCTGAGTCTCTTCGAACTTCGAAATCAATAGCATCAGGTTGGCTCATCCAGTAATCGTTGCAGGTCTGCTAACCGCAAGCCGTCCGACACTGCAGACCCCAACGGGATTTTCTGAAAGCGGGAGACACGGGTAAGCTAGTGGCTGCTGCGGAGTGTACTTGGCAAAGCACGCGCGTGTTGTGAAGCTACTCCCCTTTCCAATGGCGTCGTTGCCCAAAAGTGTGGCATGATGTGGCAGTCCCGAAAAATGAATGCATTCATCTGCTGTTTCTCTACGCCGCTACTGCTGGGATGAATTGGCTAGTCTGATCGACCTATCCATTCTGTCACACCACCCCACACTGCCTTGTCACTTGTCCATCACTTCATTGAGGTTGCAGTTTCGGTCAACGTGTTCAGGCAGGGGTTAGGCCTTCGGGATTCAGGGTGAGGGTGGGCAAGGAGGTTCGGGCTGGTCAAGGTTCAGGGTCGGGCGGTGGTTAGGCAGTGGATGGGATGAAAGGTACAGAGGTTGGGTTTGTGTGGTTAAGGCTGTGTGACGCACTGAGCCCGCTGCAGAGTCCGTTTCTTGCGGCCTCATATGCATCTGTCACATCGTGATCATGCGTTCGCTTCCGCGGCTTCAATCACCAGAAGAGTCGCAAAAAAACGAGTGCGAAAGACGTGTCATTTTGAATGCGTTGTTGACATGCTATGAAGATGTTCTGACTTTCAACTAAATACAAAGCTGGGGATGGCCCTGAAAGCATGTCGTCTAGAACGTCACATAATGTCACATAAGAGTCGCTCTTGTGACAGCTTGTGCCTCTGCTGCCGCCCCTGCCCCATCACATGGTGAGGCCTCAGCGAAGGCGCCGCGCTGCGAACGTTTACGAATCTTATCGAATCTTCCTCACCCTCCTGCCACGCTTTTGTGATCTGTCATGGCAGCTTTCTGATGTAAGGGCAGCACCGAGGACCCACAGCCCAAAGCGCAGCTCAACAGGAGGATTCGGGAGCGGAGTGATGGCTGATTTGGTGGCTTGCATACCTTCACCCCTTAGAATCTGCTGCATTTCAACTTGTATTTGTTGGCATTGGTACGTGTCCCGTGCTCAAGCGAACCCCAAACTCGACGATGATACTTCGATATGAAGATTTTGAATAATTATGACATCTTATGAAGACATTCTGCAGTCTATGACATGAAATTGGGGCATCCAAGGGCTTGTCACCTGTCGATCAGGCACCTACGCAACTTCTATCAAAATCTACCCAAAATGCCACAACCCGGATGTGAGATACAGCGGCGCAAGAAACTGATACTCTCGACGCGCGAGAGCGCAAATGAGCGCAAGAAATCGCAAGTAGTTGTGGAGTGTTGTGGAAGATGCCCCGAAAAGCTCTGAATCTGCTCCGTATATGCTCTGAATGCTTTGTGCCGCTCTGAATCCCTTAGTCGCACCTCCGTCCTTCAGCTCGAAGGCACCTCCAGTGGTACAACAGCGTGAAAAGCAACCGAAGTCATGGCACACAAAACATAACAACAAATAACCACATCCTAGCCACACCTTAGCCCTCATCCTATTGCATCCCCGCAACATGCTATTCACTCCTCTCATCACTAGGCATTCACAATCGCTTCCCCTACAGGGAGCTTGAACCGTGCGAGGCATGACACCTTCCCAGACTCCCAGACTTGCCGAAACGCGAACAATACTTTGTCAATGCTGATAAAGCGCGGCTGCTGCCAAACCGAGAGTCGGACGCCCGGACGGCGCAAGCTTGTGAAGCTCAAGGGCGACTGATGTGTAAGTGGATGTTAGTGGTGTGTTGTTTTGTCATTCTTGATGGCACAGCGTATGTACATGTCATCAGCACCTGGACCGGGCCCTCCACAGGCTCTGACGCCTCAGCATGTCTCCATTTCTCAGCATCTGACTGGCATTGTCAGTCTATGCAAGTTTTTCGGTTTACTGCAAATTCTATCGCCTGCCTCCATCCTGCCGCTCGTGACACAATGATTGTATAAAGCCCCAGCCCATCGCAGCCATCCCGTTGCCCTTCAAATCCTTCTCTTAAGGGCCCTGCACTTCGAGCGAGCCAGCCGCCGCGGTGGCAGCCGCACTCCACGGCTCCGCATTGACGCAGCCGTGGTGCTGGAAGCGGGCGCGCGCGCGCGCGGGGGGGGGGGGGGGGGGGGGGGGATCCGCGAAGTCCTATACAACCCACAAGCACTCCACAGGCCATATAGCCTTTGGACTATGCAACAGCGGGAGGCACATTAGGGCTCCAAAGACATGGAGGGCAGGTAGGGCAGACGAGACGTCATTTCGCGGGAAGCTTCTCGGGACTTTCGCGAAACTGTGGTGCGACCTAGATTGGGTGTATGCTGTGCTTTGCAAAGTTCAAGGGGCTTGAAGCTCTGCAAGCATATGTTCGAGCTTGCATGGGAGGTAATTGGCACCGTACAACTACGGACCTCAAACCTTGCTGGCAAGTGCGAAGCATTTGACAACACACCTCTGCAAAAAGGCCTGCAGAAAGCGTGGGTTACGTAATGCTTTCACGCAGTCAATCTAACTCTACTTTCACGAACAACATCGCAGGCTTTCGAGCCGTGCCCTCAAGATCCTCAAGCTTGCAAGATCTTGCAAGGGTCCGCTTTACATAAATTCTCCACGCGGGACAGTCTCGTCACTGAGGCTTAAAGCCAATTACCATTCGCGGCACTCCAAGGGCGCAACCCGCCAGCTCTGAAGAAGCTTCTGATTATCTGCGCCCGACCTTACCAACTCCACAGAAGCAAAGCATGGCAAAGCAGATTGAAAAGATCAGCTTGTACGAAATGCACGATCAAGACTAAGCTTTTCACGTTCCCCGCTCAGGTTGCTGTGGTCTTGTGTCTTTGGCTCGCGCGGCCTTGGGGGAAGCTTGGGCCATCTATGCCATCTCTATGTTGGGCTGAGATGCTCGACATCCCTGGGATCTTGCAACATGTTATGAAATCTTGCGGAGAGCCTGGATTAGCTGCAGATACAGGCGAATACCATTGCCTGAACATGTCCGGTAAACCCAAGCAAATCGAATCTGTCCCGTCTTGCTGTATCTTTGTACACCACGTTGTGCACTAGGTGCTCTGCGCTCGTGCAAAGGTGGCACGGTTGCCTTCAAGGTTGAGAACACATGCCAACACACTGCTCATGTTGTGAAGCATGTCTTCTAACTCCAGGGCAACCCCTACTCTGCAAAGCTTCGAACTGATGCCTCCCCCTCGCACCCATGGTCTCATGGGGTCGTAGGCCTAGGTACTGCTCTCGGCTAGACATTGCATGTGAGGGAACAACTGACATATGCCACATTCTGAACATTCTGGCATGTACTTGCACGTACCCTGGCACCCTGTGCAGCGCTTGGCTGAGAACGACTATGCCGTCGCTGACAGGTCTTAGCAGCCAACACCGGGGCCAGGCTGTTCGGAACAGCCTGCAGAGAACCTTCGAGCGATGGCACGATTTCACATACGGGCTGTCTTTCCGACTGCTTCAGAGATGCTGGTGGGTTGGTGGATCATAGTCGGAAGGGGCCGAGAGAAAGAGGGCACACATGGGGGCGTGGGCAATGATGGCCAACGACCCGGCACCTCCCGAAACCACTATGGACTCCTTGGGCGTGCGACTTGCTGAGATAAGGCGGAGATGTGTCTCGGATTGTTAATGTTAAGGGCCTTTGGCCACTAGCTTGCCATGTTCCGTTTCCAGGTTTCGCCAATGCATGCTGATGGTCTTGTGTGCTCTGGTCATGCCGTCTCTAGGCCCATGACAAATACGGAGCCGCCGCCTCCCCCCCCCCCCTCCCCGCCACCAGCCAATATTCCGGCCGCACTCAGGCCATGGCGTATCATGTTATGTCATGTCGAATACTTCAAGCCTTCAGCAGAGGTCTTCTTTCAAAAGTTGAGAAGGGTTGGGTTCTGGCCCTAGGACAACGCGGACGCAGTCAGTGCGGTCGGCAACGATATACACCAGCCACATGCGAGTAAGCTACTTGCAAGCAAGCTGTTTAGATTTCTATAGATTTCTGACGATGACCTACAAAGCCATCGAAGTCCGAGTATGGCCGCATGATGCCGTCACAACGCGACGACATCCAGCGTGACCTCACATGCAAATGGCCGCGCCTGGTCGGCCCAGAGTCGATCCGGATGGCGTTCACGTGTCGCTCAAGCTCCGTGACTACGTAGGCACCTCGAAACCAATTCATAGCTACAAGACCTGCTTCCCCGGTACCCCTTTCTGAAACCGCATTGGTATCCCTATCGCCGGGAATCTCCTCCCCTCACCATCCACAGTCTGCACAGTGCAAGTGAGCAGTGAGGTGTGGCAGCTGCCCAAACACTCAGCGTGCTGCTATCACTTCCGGTGGCGTGTTGCAAAAGGCTCAAAGAGCAAGAGCAAGCAAGACCCACGAACACCTTTGCAAAGTCTGCCTTGCCTGGCCCCAAAGCAGAGGCTGTCCTGCCCGAAACAAATGCTGGTCATTCTGCTTGTTTCTTCATCAGCCTCTCCCTGCTCAGTTTTGCTATCGCAGGCTATCAGCTAGCACCTTGGCTCTGAAGAGCTGCGCTGGGCACTTCCAAAGCGCGCCTTACAAGAATGCAGCCAGAGAAGAATCTGCACTAGACACCAAAAGTTCAGTTCCGGAATTCGGAAGCACATGAAGCACTATGCTATTTGGAGTCTGAGTCTTTCCCGCGTGGGAGTCGCATGTCGCAGCATGTCGCAGTATGTTCGCAGCCCCGGGCCTTGATTGATTTGCTTTTTGCGTCCCCTTGGCTGGTAAATTTGGAACGGTTGCAACTGGCCAGCCGTCGCCCATCACTATGGGCTTTTGGCACTGTGGATTCAGCAGCTCACTGCTGTCAAAACAGTGGATGGAGACCGTGCGGGTATTGCAAGAAGGTGGTGTAGGATTCAGCTGCGACAGACGAAAGACCTACCAGGACAAGGCAGCACATGCTGTTGCGACAAGCCTCTGCAGCTACCCAAACTGCTCTGAGGCTCTCATCCCTGCATCTCATCCCCCTGCCCCCAGCTTCGATCTCTAAAACTGTTTTGTAGGAGTCAGGTTTGGTTTTGCTGAGGAGGGACAAGCCTGGGTGGGAGGGAGGAGGCGCCTCAGAGCGACTTGTGCCAACATGGTGATCACTCACTCATTCAGTCACTCACTATATCAGGAATGTACCTTGCTTCTTCAGTATGCTTTGCACTCTTTGTATATGCGTACAATCTGACTTCTCCGCGCTTGCTATTTTCAGATTGCTGGTTCATCTTGTCGTTTTGACTCTAAAGTTCGGCTTCGAAGTAGGCAGATGATCGCCGTGGTATTCTTGCCGCATCAGGCTCTTCCTCCTCTTCTTGTTCCTCCTCTGCTCCGAACCCAAACCCCAGCTGATCCCCAGCTGGCCGTCCCCGGAACCGCAGCTCCCGAACCAGACCCGAACTTCGAAAAAAAGCGTACAAATTTAAATGGAGCGCAAATTTTAATAAGCAGATATTCAGACGCTCAGACACGCAGGCACTCTCAAATTGCAGAAAGGAAGGTGCCCAGTTGAGGTAGAATCGAGAAGCCCTGCAGAGTATTCAATGTCTTAAACAGCCGGCATTGAGAGCAGGAAGGAACAATTCTGTTGGCAAACCGAGACATAGAACGGGTATGAAAAGTCTCCAACTGCTCGTGTGCGTTTGGCCTTTCATGCTCCACTCGACCCTGGCTGGACCCAAACCCAAAAACCCGAACCCAAGCTGGCTCTCTCCCAATTCTAACTGATTCTAAGTGGTTGTCTTTGCCTTCGGGTTCTCGCGGAGAGGCGCCCGGAACCCTACGATGCTTTAGGGTCACGGGCTCGCGGGCATTAGGATCTACCAGTAGGGCTTGATGGATAGTCACCCATAGCCTTTAAGTGGTCCACTCTGCTTTGTGCAAGTTGAAGCCTTACTGGTGTCTCTGTCACGAACAACGATGACAACCAGGGATGGCGAACATGAAAGGGCTTTAGCCTCTCCCTGGCGAATGATGTGTCTGGAAGAGTAAGACAAGTCAACTTGTCACGCCGGAACTGTGTTCGCTGGTCTTGGTTTCGCTATATGGTGGGCAACGTGAGTCCAACGACCTTCCCGAACGAGAAATTCTCAAATTGTGTTACACTGTGGAACTGTCAGCAATTGGTGCCGTCCAGGTGCTGCAGGTGCACGTGATGGCCTTGATGGGTCATACCTCGGCAACCAGGTCTCTTGAAGAAAAGGACACAACCTTCAAGTTTGTCCAGTCTGGTTTGGCCTCGGTATAGGCGCAGTCTGAGTCCAAAACGTGTGGGGGTCAGGCCTGCAGAAGGCAAGTTCATTTTGCAAGTTTCCACACGTTTCCAGCACAACACTTAGCCAGCTGACAGAATCTCTGGAAATGACAGCACATGACGGCACTTTGCTTGCCTCAGTTCGAGCTTTGCTTCTTCCGGTCGGTGGCCATTGCGGCACCTGGAACGACAAAACAACGGACTTTGTGTGCCGCACGAAGTCTAAGCCGTTGAACTATAGATCCGGTGCTTCATATGGTCATGTACTCTCATCGCTACGTAATCGGCACCATTTTCGCCCTCACAGCTACTTCGGAACATTCCACAAGCAGATCTGACTAGTCCTCACTAAACCTCAACATGTTTGAAGTTCTCACGTTCATGTCGGCGGCACGAAGCCGAACGCGGTCGCAGTGTCGAGGGTGGGATGTACCTCTGACGGAACTGTGCCGGGTTGCTGGATTATGTCATGCAGTTGCTGCATGCTGCATGCCGTGGGGTGACTCTTGGACAAGTTACGCTCGGCTGAAATGGAACCACAACCGCTATGCAACATCTACGACAGCCGCTTAGAATGTCCCAAGCAACTCGGTTTCTGAACGCGAGGCGGAAGTCTCAAGAGGGGCTCCATGCAGCCAGCTCGAAGGGCTCAGGATTCTTGGTATGAATGCTTTGCTCATCTTTGCTCGTTGCGCAGTAGAGTCCAGGGTCTCCCAATCCGCGCCGAAAAGGCTGCAATTGAATTACGCCCTCAGATGTTTTTCTCCTGGCTGCTCAAACCCTCTCTCATGAACAGCCAGGTGCCCTGTCTTGATGGTCTTCTGATTCGCAAACAGGCTTTCGGTAAGTATGGGAAGATGGTGACCAATCAATGTGACACTTGAGTGTCGTTTCCAGCATTGAATTAGCATCGTGCTTTTCCCACTCGACTCTGCAACTGTCGGAGATGGGAGATTGGTCCGACTTGGTTCATGTTCCGTTCGAAAAAGAACTGATGTCCTAGGCATTTACGCGTGCCAAAAGATCGGGAATCGGCGGTGTGCCCGGGTGTTTCGATTCTTCAGGCGGAATCAGGCCCAGGCGTGATGGGCAACAAATACGAGATTTGCAAGACATCAACTGGACATCATCTCGCTTCACTCTTCAGGGTCTTCTGCAGCTCCCTTCATCTCAAGAGCTCCAAACGCAATGTAAAGACAGCCAACAAAAGAACAACAATCATGAATGTACTTGCGTCTCTTGCTCAGAAGACACACTCAACCGTTCTTTCGAGCATGCTACGTTCGTTTTTCCTACTCCTAGTTTGCAGGCACGCTCGTGTAGCAAAGGTGCTGGAACTTCATGGAACTTGCTCTTTTCCTTGGCCAGCCCTTGGACTATCTCAGACGCGTCGTAGTGACTAAGTTGACCACCTGTTGAAGCGTGCTTCTTTGCAGGGGCACGAGAATCCAGGTGTGTCTCCGCTGCAGTCAGGCAGGCGCTTGCTGGTGCCGAAACTGCAAGGACAACATGTAGTCTCAAGCTCTGACTAGTGCGGATGGATGAAGGGGCACACACTTTCTGCAAGTGCATAGGAATGAATTTGTCAATATACTTGTCGCAGGACCGTGAAGCTTTGTAGCAAGACGGCTGGAGTTCGCTCAAGGTTCTTGGAAATGAGGGCTTTAGGATGGTGACACTTTGATTCTCACCTCTGCCACGCTGGCCATCTGCCCCACAGCACTATCTGCTTCTGACAAGCATCCGACAGCACAGCTGCTGCATGCAGTCCCCCCCTCCTCGCCCCAACCAACGCTTCTTCAAAACCATAGCGAAGTCCACACCACGCACACTCTAGGTGAACAACGTGACGCTTGCTGTCATTGCCCCTACAAGACAGCAAGCTTACCTGAAGTTGCCGAAAGCCCTCGCAACATGAACATCATGGCTGGAACGATGGCAGTAAGGCCTGAAGCCACGCGGTACAGGCACGGCCACACTTGCTGCTCGAGAGGTGGTGCCTGCAGTTGCCCGTACAACTCGGTGATGCAAAAGGCTTCCAGCGCTCTGCTCAGTCACGCATGCACACGCACCTCTCCAGAGCAAGTGGACGTGCAAAGATGAACAAATGGACATACCGTATTGTGAGCCCAGGATAGCCCAAGCGATCGATCCTCTACACACTCGTGCAACCTGAAACTTCATTGCGACAGGACTGAGAGCCAGATTCAACATGGAGCCTGCGTTCTGCAGCAGAGGCCCCGGCTAGCAGCGCTTTCAGCGCTTTGTGTGGACGCCTCTCGCCGGGCCTCAGGATCCAGCCGATGAAATGCAGGCATGTGGATGGCATGGACCCGCTGAGAATGCCACAGCGGCTGGCGCAGAAGAAGGTCGCCTTCGTGTGCGCAGCCAGGGGACATCACCTCCGGTGCAATTGTAAGTGACTCGCAGTTCATGAGCTTTCCTCTGCGTCATTAATCTGGGTGCCCAGCCCATGTACACCGCACCCTTCCTGGACAGGGTTGACTGCGGGCAGAACCTCACATGGCCACATGAGGCCACTCGACTGTTTCGCGAAACAATGCGAAACGTATCGAAACATCAGAATACGCAAACAATTGCGAACATCAACAGAAGCTGGCATATAGACACTGCGGAGCTGTTCTGCCACGGCCGCGACATGTCTGCAGACGCTTGGATCCATTACTTTTTGGAGGGAGGGGCTGTCAAGAGGCCTTTCATTACACGTCACGTCACTCTCACAATTCTCACTCACCAGGAAGGGCCAGGATTGGGTTGCCAGCTCCGGGCCCGGTGTCGAGGACGTCATCGGGCGTGTGGTGCTTCGTGCTGGGCGGAACGGAGGTAAATGGAAGCAACGAACATCCACGGTTACAGAAAGAAGGAATCCGAATCCAGGGAGGGCCGACCTCTTGGCCTCTTGTAGGTACGGTGCCATACAGGGTTCCAGCTATATAGGGGAGAGCGATGGATACTGGGGGTTCGTTCATTTCCGTTCGCTTTTTTTGTTCACAGGGTTCAAGCATCAGCAAGCGCTCGTCTTCTGGGAGTAGGGGTGCAGGGAGAGGCCGACGGCCATCCAACACAGCATCGACAACGGCAAAGGCGTATGAAAATAATGACTGATGAGAAGTACTGAGAACATTATCTGATGCGACAAGGTTCTGTAGAAGAACAGTGGCGACGGAGGCACCAGGCGTCTGATTTTTGGTACATGCATTGGGGCTTATGGTTCCCAATCTGTGTCGCAGCCAGCCATGAGCACTGACACTCAAAAAGCCAAACTGGAGCCTGTGGACAATTAACAATTTTTATAGGATCCGAAGACTAAAGCCTTCAAACTTTTCAGTTCAAAGCCCTATGATGCGGACCGGAGCCCTCATACCATTCGGCCAAAGCATTCAGTTCCGAACCTCCTGCCCGAATCTTAGCGTTACTCATGCTTTCCCAGGTGTGGAGTTCATGTTTGACGCACGGTTCTGACAGATATCCGGTCGCAATCTCCCATTCCCTGACTAACCTAGCTTTACGATGCACCGGAATACTCAAGAGCTGGCGCAGCACACCGCCCGGAACGTGCTGTTGCTCCTGGTGATGCTTCTGTTTCTTTCTTGGAAGCTGGGGACATCTGAGGAACAAGACAAGTCCAGCGAAGCCAACCATGCAGGCGACGACCAAGGTCACAATCATTTCAAGTTTCACACTCTGATTTCCCTGTGCACCCGTGGCATCAAGCATGTAGCACGAAAGCTACTTTACGGATATTGATGTATGCCTGCAAAAGCATCGGACGCATTCAGGCACGGGGGGGGGGGGGGCGGGGGGCCAGAGGGGGGCAGGGTAACAGTTGACACTCGTGCAACTTTGTAAGACTTGAGCAAGTTTACATGGTGGCTCATGATCGACAGCCAAACAAATGCTGACATGCACCCGCAATGTTTCGCATCGTATAAACCCAAAAACATGGACAACCTATTTGCAGCGATGCTGCAACTGCCTGGAGGCGGGTCCAAAGCCACAGATTGACGGGGGTGGTAACAGGGTAAATATGATTAACCAACACACTTCCCAAGCCAAAATTAGCACGATCGATACCTTTACACTCCAAACAACATGAGCCGGTCCGGTCGCTCGGTGTTGTAGGATATCCCGGGGCTCCTAGGCCAGGAGAGTCGACTCGCAGCAAGTACGGAAATTCCCCTACAACACTTCTTGCGATGCCCGCAGGTACATGCACATACCTCTGGAAAGATGACACATTAATCCTACAATCTGCAACCAAGAGATGTGCTCATTGGCAACTTGGACCACGGTCTTGGCCTGGCACTGTGGCTGAAGAAGCTGACTGGAAGTGTCTGATCTCACTGTCAACATGCTAATGATGCCTGCAGGCTCAAACATCATCACATTGCTCGATGACATTGTGCAACGCAAGCCAGCACTCTACGCGACCAGATTGATTTTTGTCGCTGCCACCCTGTGAACGCTCGGATTAGACAGCGCAGCTCAGGGTGCTTCTGATCAGAGTCTTGAGCTGTCGTTCCAATGAATGTGGTAGTCGAGACTGTGACCTCGCCGCTATTTGCTGCACGATTCTGCGATATTCCGTAGGCAATTCACAATGACGACATGCCACGACACTACGACGGCCAGGCCTATTTGGCTTGAGAAACGGGAAATCTCCTTCCTCGCAGCGTGCAAGTGCCGGGAAGCTTGAACTCCGAAGACCCCACATCGAAGACACCTTTTGCCGTCCGGGGGTTGGGGGACGGCCTCAAAAGAGAGCACCCATTCGATACACATCACATCCGGGGGAGGGCAGCTCTTGACAGAGCGGTGAGAATAATAAGAATAGTAAGAATAGTAAGAATAACCAGCGTAGTAAGAATGGTAAGAATAGTAAGAACAATAAGAATAGTAAGAATAGTAAGAATAGTAAGAATAGTAAGAATAGTAAGAATAGTAAGAATAGTAAGAATAGTAAGAATAGTAAGAATAGTAAGAATAGTAAGAATAGTAAGAATAGTAAGAATAGTAAGAATAGTAAGAATAATCAGAATAGTAAGAATAGTAAGAATAGTAAGAATAGTAAGAATAATAAGAATAGTAAGAATAGTAAGAATAGTAAGAATAGTAAGAATAGTAAGAATAGTAAGAATAGTAAGAATAGTAAGAATAGTAAGAATAGTAAGAATAGTAAGAATAGTAAGAATAATAAGAATAGCAAGAATAGTAAGAATAGTAAGAATAGTAAGAATAGTAAGAATAGTAAGAATAGTAAGAATAGTAAGAATAGTAAGAATAATAAGAATAGTAAGAATAGTAAGAATAGTAAGAATAGTAAATTAAGAATAGTAAGAATAGTAAAGCAGCATTTTGAACAAGAGCGATTGCAAAAGCTCCAATGGGGGTCTCTGTTGGCCCCAAGCACACCAAGCGCCCAGGAGAGGTGGCGCTCGCTAATACAGGCGAGGTCCTCTCTTTCCCTCTGAATGCAAAGCCTGCAAGCAGCTGCACACCTGATATAAACACATACATCAACTTCGGATCTAGGATGGCCCAATCAGTGCCAGAGCGTCTGGCGAAGCTTCCGCTTCAGCTCGGACGGAACTAAACGAGTCATCACAAAGCCTGCAATGGCAAGTGAAGACCAAATAACGCCAATGCTCTCAGGAGCAAGGACGCTGATAAAGACTGCAAGCATGGCATCCAATATCTTCCATGACCATCTTCACAAGATGACCGAGCCTATTAGGGTTGTCTGCGTGCTTGTACCTGCCCGATCGATGGACTCCAGTTCCAAGTCGACATTTGCCTGCAATCTGGCATCGAGCACAGCTGTGCATGCTTTCGATGTTTCTCAGGAGGCGGGCATGAGCTCTTCAACAACACACAGATGCTCAAACTTGGAGGAAGGACCTCCAAAACATTGATTGCACAGGCGGTGCCCTTCGCATGTATGTGATAGACAAGGCAGTTGGTTCGCTAGACCCACTGATTGCGAAAACCATGGGATTCGGAAGTGGCATGAGGCACATGGAGCCAAAGCACCAAGAGCTTTCCACAGCTTTTGAGAAGCTTGTGCACAGCGGCAAACACATCCAGGTACGTGTCGTCCAGCCTGCAGATATCTGCAGATCAACAAGACCAAGTTTGTCATGCGATACCCTTGAGTTAATAGTAAACATGTCCTTTGGTGCCTATGGCTACGCAGTCGCTTTCTGGTGATACAGATTTACCAACCGTTGTCAAGTATATCCTCTGTAGTAGTAGTTCTTGAGCAGACTCATTCAATGCAGCCATTGCACGTGGAATCCGGCACCGCCAACTACACATTCGCTCTTGGCTTGCCCAAAAACCCAGAAGCTCAAGAAATCAAGGGTTCTCCTCAAATACAACTGCCGAGTACCGTCGGGTTGTTTGGTGAACGCACTGCCCACCTCGCCTCAGGCTCCAATCAGCTATGGGAAGGAAGTCCATGAGGTGGATCAGCTGATAGTTCATCTGCACCCAGAAAGTCTCCGAGTCCAGGAACAGCTTCCTCAGAATCTTCAGAAGTGGTGACGTCACTCTATACAGTCTGTACACCAACAACCGTTTCAGAACGGCGGAAGGTCGATCGGTGCACGGTCCAAAAGCAGAATGCCCGGACTTTTGCTTCCAACAAACCAAACCTTTGCAGTGCCGCGTGCTGCACGCTATAAAGCACCGTGGACTCGCAACATCCTTCGAAGTCCTCGGCATCAGCGGCTTGAGCACACCCTGCTCAGGATAAAGTTGGCCAAGCTCCAAACATCTCCGAGGGTCCACAAAAGCATACATAAAACAACAACAATTGTCTGGTGAACATGTTTGAGATTACGCTGAACTGGCCCGATCCACGAGCTTCAAACGTGATGGAACGAAATCAATGTTGGTCAGATGGCGGTGTGCTGACCTCTTCGTTGGTTCTCCCAGTTCCCAGCTCACATTGTTGCGGTGCTGGGATGTTGGGATGTACCGGTACCGTCGGCATGACAGCTCTCCGAGCATGCTTCCGGTAGTTTCTTGGAATGCATGTGTCGCGCATACAGCATCTCACAGACCTTTCGGATCAGTACTACGTAGCCACAAAGTAGCATAGATGCAGTATGTATTTATATGGGTTTATTACGAATGTGAAAGGTTCAACGAGTGGCCAACACAGCAGCAGCTGCAAGCGGCAATCTAGAACGTCTACGGACGGGATGGACAGGGCATGTGCTGGCACCATAAAGTAACAGCTTGTTTGAAAAAGTTAATCCGCCGAGGCCTCGGGCCGGAGGTGTATAGGTTGTGAGAACAGGCCCCTTCCCCACACCCCCCCCCCACCCCCTACCCCCTCCCCCCCCCCTACCTCCCCCCCCCCCCCCCTACCCCCCCCCCTCCCCCCCCCCCCCCCCCCCCCCCTGCCCAAAAGTCCAAGCTGGACCGAAGCACTCCCCCCTTCCCCCCTTCCCCCCCCACCCCCCCTACCCCCCGGCTACGATCAATCCAAGCCGAACCGTCTCTTGAAACCCAAAAAAACCCTAAACCCCAAAGCATGAACCTTGAGCCCTAAGCCCTCAATCCTAAACTAACCCTCAACCCTAAACCCCAAACCATAAACCATAAACCCGGAACCCTAAACCCTAAACCCTAAACCCAACCCTTATTGCTTGGGGTCCAGCGACTTGGGCGCTGCGGAATCACCATGCTCACCCGGATGCGCTGGGCCGGGCCGAGGCGGGTCGCGTAGCGTTAAAATTAACCTTTTGTGGATGTTGCCAGGCTCTTATGAGTCTTAGTCAGGAGTTCTCAGAGGATGCGATGTCAAAAGGCAAATCAGAGGCCTCAGAGGGGTTTTGAGGCGCGAGACGGTTTTCCGGTTTTCCTGTTTTCCTTCAACACAGCTTCTCTCAAACGAATCCTTCCACGATTCCAGACTGAGCAGGAAACAATCAGAAGCTGAGCTTAAACAACTTTGGGGACGATTCTGTGCCAGCAGTGATGCCTTGTCGTGCCTCGTCATGCCAGTCGTGAGACGGAAAATGCGTTTGTGCATGTTTGTGCGCAATGTTGCCTTGCATGTGGAAGCTCCAGTCGCTGCTCGCTTGGGCATGAAATGGTTGGATCCTTGTATTGTCTAGATGCCTGCGAACTGAGCAACAAAGCCTCGCTGTAAGGCAGCACATTCACACAAGATACAAACGCTATCAAACGCTCAAAAGTAGGTGACCGCGGAGGAAAAGTGCTCTGCACTGCGGCCACAAAAAAAGCACCATTTCAAAGGAGGAAAGTGTCGAAAGGGTCCTCAGCCACCGGATCTCCTGTGGGCCTTCTGGGACAAATAGGAAGTATGGCTCCATATGGCTCCATGGATCGGAACTCGGCAGGCGCTCATATGACATCATATGATGCTCTGACTTAAAGGCAAAAAGCCGCTCACGACGCACACGACTCTCACAAGCACACGGTGCGCGGGTTGCAGACCTTCACCGCGCAGCTGGTCTGTCTCCTGGTGACAGCAGAGGGAGCCCAAGAGATGCTTAGACGCAAATGACGCAATTGATGCTTTCAAAAAGTTTCATATCTTCAAAGATGCTAGGATGCTACCTTTTCAGTCGCTAAACAAACCTGTGGTCGCAATCTGCTCGCGTGAACCCAAGCTCTTGAAGCCGAGAGACGTCCACGCTGGGCACTCGATGCCGCTGTGGGGATGGTCAGATACAGCTCGCAAAGCATCCGGACTCAGGCATGCAATGGCTTCCGCCTCGGTATGCAAGCCCTCTACGACCCAAACCCACTGCGCTGCAAGTCTTGCAGCGTCTTGCATGCATAGCATGTTGCAGCATTTTTCAGGTGGGCAGCTAGGCCAACTTCGAAGTACGTACCTGCTAAGTCCAACAAGAGGAAGAGGAAAACCGCTGTTCTGCAGAGAGTCGCCATGTCTCAGCAAAAGGCAGAGAAACTTGATATGGAAGGCGAACGTCCAAAAGCAGACAAGTAGACAGCGTGAAGTTTTTCAAGTGGGCAAGCTTTCTGTCACAAACGTGCATGTTGCACATCACCGCGACAGGCCAGAGCTTCTTCAGGCAGCGTTCAGCTGCACTCAGAGTCAGAGCAAGGCGGACTGGGTGACTGGGGACTGAAACGACGAGAACTGGTTCTCAGAGAGGAACAGTAGAACCGCCTGTGCACATGGCGACAAAGCTTCAAGGCAGTGACATGCACCGTTTGCGGTGGCTGCGTGAGAAACCTGCTCCCCTAAGGACCGGTCGGCCCAGAAGAAGCCCGTGGACTACTTGATTCAATAGCGACAGGTCCACTCAGCATGTGAACAGACTTGTGCCCGGAGACTGATGTGTTCCTTGAGTTGGGAGCAGCACCAACAGTATCCAACAGTCTGGCAGGAAATCCACGGCTTGGTATTTGGTGGCTTTGATGGCTGCGCACTGTGCAAACAAGGTTGGGAGCAGGTCTGTCCAGGACTGGCTCTGCACACAAGGGCCGGCGTCTTGACTTGCATTGGATTGGATGGTCTCGACGCCGTCGCAGGGGACTCACGTGTCACAAAGAGCTATGCTGAATCTGGACTCACGATCCAACGCTTTCATTTGCGATGGATTTCAAGCGGCAGAAACCTGGCGAAGAGTGGTGTGGCTAAGCCGGCCCCCAAACAGTGTGCTGCCCTTTTGCTGCTCAAGTGCCCCAATGCTCCGCCGGGTGCCGACACATGCCCGTAGTGACACATCCCAAGAGCATGTAATGGAATATCCGAGGTCGCCCCCGGACGCGCACAGGAATCCACGCATCCGTTGCCAAGGCGCTGATGAGGCGATTCTTCGCCACATCACACCAGGACTGAGTGATCGATTTCAGGCGTAGCTGGGCGTTTGACGATGGCTAATGCTGGTTGCAAGCCGCGGCCCCCTTCTGCAGACGCCCCAATGCCCTGTGGCTCAGACAATGCCAGTTTTGTGCTCGAGAAGCTCACCCAGCTTCTGCATTTCTGGATTGCAATCTCACCCCTTTAGGATGGGATATACTGCTGACCAATTGCTGACCATTCTGGCCGGGCCACATGACCTGCTTGACGCCCGATGTCCTGACCCAATTTCCAAACCACAATCTCACAGAAAACTAAATTCTGTCTTGCATTCACGTGTACATTTGGAGATACTTAGAGAAGCTCATGTGCTCAGTGTTGCAGCGTGTTGCAGCGTGTGGGAGCCTTGGCAGCCGTGGCCCTGGCAGCCTTGGCATCCCAGGTTTCGCGGAGAAGCTTGATCTTCTTCTCAAAGGCTTCGGGATGACGTTGCACGGTGCAAAGAAAGTCCTACGGAGCCGCTTGATGTGGCTGAGGACTGCAGTCAGCTCATGATAACCGTTGCGAATGCGGTGCTTCTTGCCAAGTTAAAGATTGGAGTGGGCCCCGTCCTCGAGGTCATCGAAATGAGCCTTTGCTTGGTTGCCGACTCGCACCTTCTGCTGCTGAAAATGCTGAGACATACTGAAAGCATCTGAGAGCATCTGAAAAACAAAACATCTAGAGAAAAAAGAATCATCTGAACCTCGCAGGGCCCCTGGACGAAAGCGAGCGGTCACACGCGAGGATGCAAGCCCGACCCCTCTTGCTTTCGTGCGCATGGGTGAGGCTTTGAGATTTAGGGGCTTTAGGATTCAGGGTTTCCGGATGTAACTGAGTGTCTGCGCATGCAGACAATGAAAGCTTGAAAAAGTCGAACACAGCGCCTCTCAACAGCATCTAGCTGGGGGTACGAATTTTTCGGAGCGTGCATCTGAGCACCTTGTCCGATATATCGGACCGAGGGGGGTCGTGGAGGGGGCACGACCCTTAAACTCCCGATTTATCGTGCCAGAGGCCTTAGGGAGCACGCACTTTATTTCTGAACGACCGCTAGAGCTCCAGGGTGATGTGGGCTACCTCCTGATATTGACCCTACGCGGGTGCTAAAATGCCTGAAACCTCAAATTCCATTGACACGCTAGGAGTGTATCATTGAAGCATTGATTGGCCTATGGAAATCTAGTTTCGAGCTCAGACGCTGTCATCTATCAGATGCCGTTAGCTCTACATGAAGACAATTGAAGGCAACTGTAAGGCAGTCAGCAGTTCTAGGTTGCACACGGTTACACTTGCTGCACAAGGGCATCCAGGAATTTCAAAGAAACCGTTTTAACAAGCTCTAGTTCACACAAAAATGTTGCACAGAGAAATGCAAACAGGGAACGACCCGACCCGACCCGCCAATTACGCACATGTACAGTACATTACAGTAACATTCTCCCAGACACGTTCGCTGTCTGGAACTTGCGCGACATGTTCAGAAGTAGCACAACGCTTCGTAGCACAACGCTTCTCCTGCACGTTTCAAGACAGCTGCTGCTAGTCACCGGTCAGTATCATGTGCTGGATCGGAACATGCAACCTGTCGCACATGAGAGTCTCGTCAGCATACCGCGCCGCAAGACTCCAACGAAGATGCTAGTTGACCCGTGTCAAGCTGTGGGTTCATCTGGGCACCTTACACATGGATGATGGAAGGCCCCACCTTCCACAGCGCCACCGAGTAAGAGCTAGGGGATACTCTTCTACTCTGAGCCCAAATGACAAAAGGGCCGATCAATAAGGCATGTCGAAAGGTCAGCCAGGCTTCGCCCTTATCATCCTTATCACTGTTGCTTGGCAAGTCTCTTGTTATCCAAAACGCGCGAGAAGGAGAGTCCGCCAAAGCCCTGCATTCTTGTAGGACCTGAGGGGTGGTTCTGGGAAGCTGAAGACCTACCAACGAGTACCCGGCAATATGGTACACGAGGGAGGTGGCAGAACGGCTGCTCCAAACGGGAAATCAGCGCATCCAACATCATGCGAAACGTTCTCACATCGCAATTCCGTGCCTTGACTTTCGAGCTCTTGGACGAAGTCAAAGTGCAACAGCAATCGCAGAATGCTGGGGAATGCCTCGCATCGAGCGCAGCACATCACTGCACGAAATAGCTTGGCTGGCATCTCTGCATGCCTCGATATGCTTGAACTCCTCACAGGGCATTCGGGCCTAGATGTAGACATTTGAGCACACGGCCCGCAAGCATCGCTGTTCTAGGTTCCATGTATCCCGATGGCCCTGGCCCCGGCACGAAAGAAGTATCTGTTTGCCCAGGTCCTCATCAGAGACGAGTTTCTTCAATCTGGGCTCGAGCTCCAGCTTCATTGGGAAGTAATTCGTGCCAACTCCCATGATGCTGTGCCTGCCATGAGCTGCAACAAACGAGCGTCGCAAACCTCCTTGAGCCCAACTGGTCTTTGCTGCCTAGGTGCAGGAACAAGACTCGTGGGGAATGACCTTGAAAGTGCGCCGCGCAGTACTCGTAGCAGAACTGCAGATGATCCAGGAATGAGCCATCGGCGTGCTCCATCCTTCGGGTGTTTTTGGGAGGACGCAAATTGCACGCATGCATCTCAAAGCTAGCAATTGTCAGTCCTGAAGTCACACTCATCTCTCCTTAGCTCTGCAAGGGTAGTATTTGCAATGTGTTGGAGTGTGTAGAATCGTCTGGAAGATTGCCGAGTCTTCTGAAACTGCCCTTCTGGCTAGATGCTTTATGCGACAGCGACAAGGGATCTGCAACATCAACATGCAGTCCCTGTCGCATGGGCTCATTTCATATTACCTTCTGTGGCAGCGAGGCGTGATTCAGGTCCATGTACCACTGCCCAGCTGCTAAGCCAAGCAGCATGAAATCCAGAAGCGCCTGTGGTGAAGTCAAAAGTGAGAGCATACTAAGATCAACGGCACGAAGGACTTGCTCAAGGCTCGGAGTCAAGCCCGCAGGGATCGCATCGATGAGCCTGGTCATGTGCTGGCGCCGGTGGAAGGGCGGCAAAGGCACCTGCATCATGGCATGCTGTCCAGCCAGCGCATCTGTTGACTTGCGCAGTTCCTCTCTCGTTCATGCTGTTTACTTTCAAGAACAAGAGGAACATCGAAATTAGTTGTTTGGGTCTGCTTGGTTCATGTGGCCGGACTGCCTCAGAACCGTTCATAACCAGCCAGCTGCTGCCGACAGTTTTGGTCACTCCTGTAGTTTGGGGTCCAAATTTCGGTCCCTGATACTACACCGGCCGCCCTCACATTATCATGTAGGGTACGACGTCCACATCGAAGCCATGTGAAGCCTTGCAATTTCAGCGACGCAGGGTGTGCGCATATGTGCACTTTCAAAATCATTTCCCGGAGTGTGGCGCATCCACAGCCCAGACCCCACGAAGTTGCATGATTGGGTGTCAACATGTAACAACTTTTGTCAACATGCGTCAACTTTGTGGTAAGATCAGTCGAAGCGCTCAGCGCTCAAAATCGTTGTCACCTTGCCCCTGCCTTCGATGCGACGCGCAGCTTCCTCAGTCCAGAACACCTGCAAAAGCTCTGATCATCGAGCATTTGCAGGAACGGCTCAAGATGTTTTAGGCTTACAATGGCTTATAATAGCAGCAAAACTGTTCACTGTCACCAGCTGCGTTTTGAAGGCCAGCTGATGAATGCGAAAAAAGTCTCTATGTCCGTCGCCCCCCTGGCAGGGAAGCCCGCCTCAATTCCCATCCGATCTTTGGTAGCCAGACGTGCGATGGTACTGTCCTGCAGTCCAGAAGAGGTGACACCGATCAGAACCTGTTGTGCACACGTGAGCAATCCCGCGAACATGTTCGACGCTGATATCTGGCACACCCTTACACACAGTTAAACGCCTATATGCTCATGATTGCTCATGTCCAGTACATGTGTACCCAGTGTGTACCCTCAAGCTCCAAAGCCTGCCCAAACGGTCCAGCGTCCGGAAGATGGTCTTGTCAAGGTCGAAAGTCCGCGCGGGCCGTACCTCACAAACAATTACTTGACAGCGGCAATCAAAGGGCCGATAGGGCGATGGTGCCTGTAGGTAAGTCCAAGGTACGCCTGCACAACTTTGAAAACACTTAAAAAAACACTCCCTATGCAACGCAGCAACCACAACGTCACCACCATGATCGGTTGGGCGACCATGAGCGATTTGTGCCTTGCGCCTCCCGGATGATTGCAGTCACAACTGCCACTTGAATCGCAACCAGACATGAATTTCCGACCGAGCGAAGCTGGTCAGTTGAAAACCAAACACCCCTAATTGCAAATTGCAATCCAGAATTGTTGAATATCCCGACTTAAATTGCTCTCAATCCATGCTCATGACAGGGGCTGCTCTTTGCACAAATTCGGACTGACAGAGCGGCACTGACAGGAATAGACGGTTAAGTTGATAATTTCAGAATGATGGCAAAACTAACGATGCAAAACCCGCACCAGCAAAAATCTTGCACCGTTGGTTTCTCTCCGAGGTGGCAGATTCTGGCAGCGCACAATTCTTGGACGTGTGGAAGCCTCATGTGAAAGAAGTGTGAGTTGGTGTCGGTAGAACAGGCCGCAAAATCTTCACCTGTTATTCCTGCTTGCAATCATCGTCTGGTAGCTTTCCAATCAATGCAGATCGGAGGGCATCTAAATGTATCTAAGATGTGAAAGTTGCAATCGTTTCAAACATGATGCGAAGGGCAGTTCAACTGAGTTCGGAAGGCCCTCTCAGGCGGTGACGATAAGTCATACGTGGTTTTGATCGGCTCATTCGGCAAGGTGCGCCCACAAGGCAGATCAAACGAACTCGTTGTTGAATTCTCGCACTCTTCTCTTGAAAGCTCCATTCAACAAAGGGCTTCCAGCCTCATGGCTAAGAGCAAAAAGCTCAACAAATACGTGCCTTTGTTGAGGAAAGCTGTTCCGGATGTATGTTTGGATCTCTGAGGGCCCGTTGGGAAACATATCTTGCAGCGGCACCATGCAGAAACCCTGGAAGGTTTTCGGTCATGACTTGATTGGTTGAGGGTGGTACTGAAGAATTGGCTGTGCCTTTCATTCCTGTGCAAACGTAGGTTGCGTTAAACACGCGCCCTATGACATGATGTGTGCGCAGCCGTTTATGTGGCCAGGCCCGCGAACGAAAGCTCGGATTCAACGACGGCCATGTGGATGTGCAGGCTTGTTCCTCAAAGTAGAGAACAAGAGGCGCAAGGCACGCTTGGACGGCTGTCCGCCTCAAAGGTGCGCACAGAGAGCTCTACTTTTGGACAAAAATGGAAGATGTGGAACATGCACAGACGGAACATATGAAACAGAGATGAAATGACATTCATTTGCCTTGAAGGTCAGCTGAAAGTCGTTTGAGAAACGAGACGATGAAGGACCGTCCGTTTTGCCTGTTAGTTCAAAGCGCCGGTGATCAGAAACCTTGGCAGTACAATTCGTGTGGTACTTGCGCCACGCGGCCACGCGGCCGGGCTGCACACTAGGAAGTGGGACACAGTCATGCCGGTCTTATCTACCGAACCAGCTCGCGATGAATATTACTTATTTGGATTTTAGAGTGTTTTTGTCCATGTAGAAAGTTGAAGGCATAAGGGCTGTAGTAGCAAGTATAGCTAATACAAGTGAGGCAGGAATATGTGCGTACCATTGAAGGCAAATCAAAAGGACACACGAAGGGAGACTCGTGAAGGCAGAGGAGAGTCGCAACTCACCAACGTGCAGTATGAGAAGGCGGGAGATGCAACTCTGCAACAGCGCGTGTCACAGGAACCACTTCCCGGCCAACTCAGAGAAGGCAAGGAATGGCAAGGAATTCGATGTTGACGCCCTTTGGCCTCAAATCCAGCTGGCCGGACATGACTGGGAGGACTCCCTGAATGCGCTCCTCAGCGGCAGTCACTTAGAGTTTACTTAGAGTCTGCTTACTTGGAGCGACCTGTTGTCTGGCTTTTGGGAAGTGTGACACAGTCAGAACGATGTCGCGGCTAAGCGGCAACCGAACTCCTCCAGGAAAGTCCGGAAAGCGATGATCACGCGTGTCTCCGGTGGAATGGCTTCATTGTTCGGCTGTGGTACACTTGTGAAGCCATCCCCATCAATCTGCTGCTACAATAGCTGGAGCAAACCCCAATGCCACAAACGTCTTAAAGCTAAGTCGACTGACTCTGGGCCAAATTCAAACTGACTAGGGCGAACATGCAAAGATGGAAGCCTGTTTTGAACATCGCTGCAAGGCAGGTAGACCGATTGACCTACAGCAACACCCCGGCGTACGAGCACGCAGTTAGACAGGCGTTGGCGATCCTCTACACTCGGCACTGAGCCGCACGTCAAATGTTTCCTTGGATAGCGCAATAGGCGCAATGATGGCGCAATGGTCAATCCAACAGCTTCCGGCAGCGCGGCAGGATCTGCCGTTGCACCTCTCGGGTTGACGGTTCGACGATTCGACGATTCACACCATCTTGCAGAATTTATTGCACTCTGCTACCTGTCTTAAGCCATTTTGGCAGCGAGCATACCTTGAGGCCAGCTGGAGGTGCTGAGTCCAGTTAAACACCATAGGAGAGGTGTAATTTGGTGTAGCTGTCTGCCAGATGATTGGTCTTGCTTGCACGATTGCGTAGAAAACAGGTTCCTTGACATGCAGGAATCTGAGATAATCTGAGCATATCTGAGCGCGGTAAGGCAAGAGTACATGAGTGCACAATCTCGGAAATGCTGTCCTCGTAGTGCTGGAGCTCCTGCGAAAAACAAGTTTCTTTTTTGCTGCGATGTGGGCCCATTAACTGCATGCAGTTATATCAACTCTTCTTGCCGGACTGCAGCAGCTACAGTATGAAGATCGCTTCATGTCGCCTAGCTAGTGCGCTGAAGCTTGCCATATCGCAAGAGCTCGTTTCAACTTGGTTGATGTGTTCAAGCTTGGCATCACATCATCTTCCCTCAAGCGTGTGAAACGTACGGCACGACAAGCTTACATCCTCCGGTCGATGCCATGTTGCATAGCAGCCAGGGTGCTTCGCAGCACGGCATCTTCCCACAAGCGACAGTCTGTCAAGAGGAGGCAGATGACGTCCGACACATTCACTGATTCACAACCAGGGCGTCAAACACAGAGCGCAAGAAGAACGGAACTTGATTGCATCCTGCTGCAGCTGCCGTGTTGCATACGAACATGCTCATGATGACACTATGCTGTGCTCAGCGCATCTGATGGAATCACTGTCCAGATCACTTCATCTTGATTCATGTGTTCAAACTTGGCCTCACAGCATCTTCCCACAAGCGACGGTCGGGAGAGATGAGACAAAGGAAAAGCGGGACAGATGTTGTCTCACACGTTCAAGCATTCAACAACCAGGGTGTCAAACACACAGCACGACAAGAATGGAAGATGAGAAAATGCTGTGCTCAGCGCCTTTGATGGAATCACTGTCCAGATCGTTTCATCTTGGTTAATGTGTTCAAGCTTGGCATCACGGCATCTTCCACAAGCGACAGTCTCTCAAGTAAGACAAAAGCAAAGGGACACAGCTGTTGTTCAACACGTCCAAGCATTCACAACCAGGGCGTCAAACACAGAGCGCAAGAAGAACGGAACTTCGTTTGCATCCTGCTGCAGCTGCCGTGTTGCATACGAACATGCTCATGATGACACAATGCTGTGCTCAGCGCATCTGATGGAATCACTGTCCAGATCACTTCATCTTGATTCATGTGTTCAAGCTTGGCCTCACAGCATCTTCCCACAAGCGACGGTCGGGAGAGATGAGACAAAGGAAAAGCGGGACAGATGTTGTCTCACACGTTCAAGCATTCAACAACCAGGGTTATAAGATTTTTTGGGTGGTACAGATTGGAAAACCAGCTATAGGTTTTTTATCATTTTTTCCAGGATCTGGGCCAGGGTCAGTTCCATCATTACTTTGGTCCTTTGCATTTGGGGCAGGATCAGTTCCAACATTACTTCGAACGTTCTGCTATCATTCGTTTTGTCCGCACGATATGTTTATGGATTTGCTGTATCATTTTCCGCAGAGGGTGTGGTCTATGTCGAAACTTACTTTGCGTTCCCGGCATAGACCCTATCGAATAAGAAGCTGGGCAGTTTCTCCTCTTCGATGTATTGACAGACCTCCCCTAAAGATACGCTTTCAGGCGGTTCTTCTTCGCAATAACTCTGAGTTGGGCGGTGTCTGGGCCAGAGGGGGGCTTTTGCGTTTGAAATCAGTGAGTACACCAGTGCATCACTGGCTCACCTGCCGCCATGCCGATCCTACAAAACAGAGCGGCGGTGGGCGGGGGGGGGGGGGTTAGTGGGGCAGGGCGGGGGGGGGGGGGGCGCGGGGGGGGTCGGCGGGGCGGGGGGGGGGGGGGGTGCAGGGTGGAGGGCGGGCGGGGCGGAGGGCGGGCGGGGCGGAGGGCGGGCAGGGCGGGCAAGCTGGAAAGCTAGAAACGCGCACTTTTGCCGGACTGTTATCATTTTTTCATCATTTTTTGATCGTTTGTTAATCGTTTTGTTTATCTTTTTTTATCGTTTTGTTTATCATTTTTTTATCGTCCGTTTTATCGTTTCAGGCGAGGGCTTGGATTCCAGAGATCATTTTTTCTATGATTCCAGGGCGAGACTGGATTCGGGGCTGCGTTCTGAGATTATGGAAGCGCTGTAAATCCAGGGCTACCGGGGGCCTGCAAACCGAGTATCTGTAGCTGCAGCAACAAAATACACGCACCCTCCCCCATCAGGTCCATCATCAGCAAAATGCATGAAGACATGTATACCGCACACACCGGCTGAATACAAGGAGTGGAAGCGAGGTAGAGGTAGAGCAAAGAGGCGGTGGGTCGTCCAACTTCTCGATATACATGCATCACAAACCGGCACACCGACAATGCCAAGCTCACACAAGCAGATCAAACATAGAAGGCGCGAAGATCCGAGCAGCGAAAGAAATCCAGAAACCAATGATGTCCAAATCCAAGCCAGACAAAGGAATCCAGAGACCAAGGATGCTCAGAATCCAAGTCCTAATCCACAACACAAAATCCAACGATCCTCAAAATCCAGAACGGAATGATAAATAACCTTTTTAGACCCACGTCAGTGCCTCCCACAAAAAATCTCATAAAACCAGGGTGTCAAACACACAGCACAACTAGAATGGAAGATGAGACAATGCTGTGCTCAGCGCCTTTGATGGAATCACTGCCCAGATCGTTTCATCTTGGTTAATGTGTTCAAGCTTGGCATCACGGCATCTTCCACAAGCGACAGTCTCTCAAGTAAGACAAAAGCAAAGGGACACAGCTGTTGTTCAACACGTCCAAGCATTCACAACCAGGGCGTCAAACACAGAGCGCAAGAAGAACGGAACTTCGTTTGCATCCTGCTGCAGCTGCCGTGTTGCATACGAACATGCTCATGATGACACAATGCTGTGCTCAGCGCATTTGATGGAATCACTGTCCAGATCACTTCATCTTGATTCATGTGTTCAAGCCTGGCCTCACAGCATCTTCCCACAAGCGACGGTCTGGAGAGATGAGACAAAGGCAAAGCGGGACAAATGTTGTCTCACACGTTCCAAGCATTCAACAACCAGGGTGTCAAACACACAGCACAAGAATGGAAGATGAGACAATGCTGTGCTCAGCGCCTTTGATGGAATCACTGTCCAGATCGTTTCATCTTGGTTAATGTGTTCAAGCTTGGCATCACGGCATCTTCCACAAGCGACAGTCTCTCAAGTAAGACAAAAGCAAAGGGACACAGCTGTTGTTCAACAAGTCCAAGCATTCACAACCAGGGCGTCAAACATAGAGCGCAAGAAGAACGGAACTTCGTTTGCATCCTGCTGCAGCTGCCGTGTTGCATACGAACATGCTCATGATGACACTATGCTGTGCTCAGCGCATTTGATGGAATCACTGTCCAGATCACTTCATCTTGATTCATGTGTTCAAGCTTGGCCTCACAGCATCTTCCCACAAGCGACGGTCTGGAGAGATGAGACAAAGGCAAAGCGGGACAAATGTTGTCTCACACGGTCCAAGCATTCAACAACCAGGGTGTCAAACACACAGCACAAGAATGGAAGATGAGGCAATGCTGTGCTCAGCGCCTTTGATGGAATCACTGCCCAGATCGTTTCATCTTGGTTAATGTGTTCAAGCTTGGCATCACGGCATCTTCCACAAGCGACAGTCTCTCAAGTAAGACAAAAGCAAAGGGACACAGCTGTTGTTCAACACGTCCAAGCATTCACAACCAGGGCGTCAAACATAGAGCGCAAGAAGAACGGAACTTCGTTTGCAAACTGCTGCAGCTGCCGTGCAGCATACGAATATGCTCATGATGACACTATGCCTATGCTGTGCTCAGCGCATTCGATGGAATCACTGTCCAGATCACTTCATCTTGATTCATGTGTTCAAGCTTGGCCTCACAGCATCTTCCCACAAGCGACGGTCTGGAGAGATGAGACAAAGGCAAAGCGGGACAAATGTTGTCTCACACGTTCCAAGCATTCAACAACCAGGGTGTCAAACACACAGCACAAGAATGGAAGATGAGGCAATGCTGTGCTCAGCGCCTTTGATGGAATCACTGCCCAGATCGTTTCATCTTGGTTAATGTGTTCAAGCTTGGCATCACGGCATCTTCCACAAGCGACAGTCTCTCAAGTAAGGCAAAAGCAAAGGGACACAGCTGTTGTTTAACACGTCCAAGCATTCACAACCAGGGCGTCAAACACAGAGCGCAAGAAGAACGGAACTTCGTTTGCATCCTGCTGCAGCTGCCGTGTTGCATACGAACATGCTCATGATGACACAATGCTGTGCTCAGCGCATTTGATGGAATCACTGTCCAGATCACTTCATCTTGATTCATGTGTTCAAGCCTGGCCTCACAGCATCTTCCCACAAGCGACGGTCTGGAGAGATGAGACAAAGGCAAAGCGGGACAAATGTTGTCTCACACGTTCCAAGCATTCAACAACCAGGGTGTCAAACACACAGCACAAGAATGGAAGATGAGACAATGCTGTGCTCAGCGCCTTTGATGGAATCACTGTCCAGATCGTTTCATCTTGGTTAATGTGTTCAAGCTTGGCATCACGGCATCTTTCACAAGGGACAGTCTCTCAAGATGAGACAAAAGCAAAGGGACGCAGCTGTTGTTCAACACGTCCAAGCATTCACAACCAGGGCGTCAAACACAGAGCGCAAGAAGAACGGAACTTCGTTTGCAAACTGCTGCAGCTGCCGTGCAGCATACGAATATGCTCATGATGAGACGATGCTGTGCTCCACGCCTGTAAACTTTGATGGCATCACCGTTTAGATCGCTTCATCTTGTTAATGTGTCTGTCGAAGCTTGGCATCACGCTGTGATCACCGACTGTGTACATCTCGGCGGCAGCTGCTTGCCCCTTTTCTTCGGCTTCGACCATCGCAACATATCGCCAGGCAACGCAGCACACCGTCTTCAGGTCTTTAGCCAAAGCAGAGTTTTTGGTACCGATCTGGGCAGAACAGCAACTTGTCGACCTGTCCTCTGCGATATTCGCAGCAGTGCGTCCTCGGAGATCCTTGGATTCCACCTGGACGAAGTCCTGTCCCACTGTTCAAGTCTCAATCAGGGCCAGTCTATTTCTGCATGGTTGAGGATCTCCATCCTCGCAGCCCAAGATTGCGATGCAAATGTCGGAATTGACCTGCGCCGCCAAAGAACAGACGACCTGCGTGTGCTTATCCCTATTACCATCTTCAAACTCAGCTCTAAAGTCTGGAGGAAGTCGGAGAAAAGACCGACAAAGTCGCAACGCTGCAGTTCGCTGTGCACAGCGCTTGCAAGCAAAGCCGTGGCCTGTTGGGCCGCCCAATGCAAGGCTGTGAAACCACGTGCGTCTCGAGCATTTACCTCAGAAGTGCTTCCCTAGTTCAGAGGGACAACTGAGGGACATCTGCTATGCTCTGATCCCTTCTCGCGCGACCCGAAGCACTGACCCTGAAAAAGGTGCCACGACAGGGCACAGGCTCGGAGGCTAGCAGAGATGCAGCTGCGAAGTGCGCAGCGCAGGCAGCGTAATGAGGAGAATGCCAAATCCCTTTCGCATTTCGTCGCTGCAGCCCTGTGTGTCTCATCTCTGAGCACTTCTCCGGACAAATTTTCTTTCTGCGAAAATTGAAAATCACCCTCCAATGAGTGTTTATCGGGAGTTGGGACCTCAGATCGTGGGAGCTTACCCTTGAGGCTAGGTTTAGGCTGGAGCCCTACGCTTCAAATCATCTGAGGCATAAAATGCTTCTTGTGGCTAGAGCGCTTGTCATGTGACTTGTGCCGAGGACATGGCGGCACTGAAGCTGGACGTCAAAAGCGCTTCCACCGTTGACAAAAAGCCACCTGGGAAGTGCGAAATTGCAGGTAGGATCAGCATACAAGCCGAGGAGCCATCAAGCACACGCCTCATGACTACCCAAATCCACCCAAGCAAATACTCGAGCCTTTGGCGGCCATGTGAAGAGCTGTGGCACCCATACGGTTCACCTGCATCGATGGCACGGTCCCTGGCCATACCTTACCCGCCAGACCCAGCCCGACCATGCCCTGAATGCCAACAAGGGCCAACGCAGAAGGCCCCTTTTTGAAGCGTTGGGGAAGTCCAAGTTGGGGGCCAATGGGGCCATGGACCCCATGCCTAGCCTTGTTCTTGGACCTGCTCATGAATCTCTTGACATTACATTGCCTTACTGGCGCTCACGTGTCAGAGCGTCGCAAACGCCAGCACTATATACTCGCAATATATTCGCCACACAAACTGAAAGCACTTTCGAGTCGGTGGCTTATGACGAGCAAGTACCCCAAAGCCGCAAACGCTGCAAGCGCCACACCCAGGAAGAGTTGAAGCTCAGGCAAGGAAGGAAGAAGCGGAACAGTAGCAACCACACAAAGCAAAATCCTCATGATAGAAAAGATGCACTTGCTTCGAGACTGAGGTTGCTGAACCTCGACCACCATACGTAAGATTTGAGTACCCAACTGGCAACAGCCCAGATGACTTTCAATATCGCCACCTGGTCGCCACCCGCTACGCCCCACAATGGCGCCTAGGCTTCATCTTTCACACACCTGGGCGCCTGAGGCTGACGTGTCAACAGCCCCGGACTTGCAAGAGATGCGTAGCCGAATCAGAAGCGTACATTGAATACTTAGGAGTCCCTAGTAGAGTTTCCGAACAAAATCTTCAAAAAACAGATCCAGAGGACACTTGGCTCGAAAACGGCAATTGCAGGTGCACATGCCAGCACATGTGAACCTTCCATTTCAAAGAGGGTTGGACACGCACAGAGGACAGCTCCCTCCTCTCAGCATCTGAGCCCGCTTGTCCCTGCCAACGGCAACTTAGCAGCCTCGCGCCGCGCCTTAAAAATGGTTGGAGCATCTGCAACAGACCCTCGTTTAAATCTACAGTGTCAATAAGTTTCTCTGACATGTCCCCTTCAGCATGTCAACATGGCCAGAGTACACTCTGACTCTTACTCATTTCACCTCCTCTACGTGTCTGTTCAGTCCAGACTTGTGCCAAAGGCATTCTCGCGTGGCCTTGTTGGCGGCCGAGGGCCCGTGAATGAGCAGAAGCTGGCAAATCTCTGCTCGTCCAGTTGCAGCAGCCATATGCAGCGCCTCAACCACTGAGTGCAAGTCGTGTGAGTCGGATTTGCTACGCAGTACGCCTGCCTGCTGTTGCACTAGTCCCTGTACAAACACCAAGGCACTAGTGTTAGGGCATGTTAGGGCCCATGCAGTGTTCATGTCGTACAGCTCGGCGGCTTGACGTGCCCAGTGCCCTCAGGGAATAGGTGGCCCAAAGCAGAGTTCGTTGAGAAACACACAGCATGAGGGACCGCGTTCGCCTGGCTCCGGCCGTGGTACCTTGCGAGTATCCAAATAAAAACGATTTCGCAACTGCCATTTCATTAGCGAATGACACTGGCGTCAGCCTTGTGCTGGATGCGGTGCTGCCACAAGCTTCCCGCATCTTCCCGCAATCTCGCAGCGGACAGATGACAACTGAGCGAAACACGTCGAAGTTTCCAGAGGCTGCAACAATGTCCTGCAAACATTAGTGGACAGGCTGCCGAGCCCTCTCGTAGCAGAAGCCCTCTGACAATGAAGGAGAAAGCACGCAAAGGTACGATGTGGCTTTCACACTGCAGATCTCTGCAGAGCCTACATAGTTCTGAGTCCTCCGACATCAAGGGAGATCGAAGAAGTGCCTGGACACAGCCCAAGTGACCTGCACCAGTCTGGAATAGTCTGGAGAGCAGTGTTGAGCACTTGTGTACCCGTATAATCGCCTCGACTCATTGTTTCGAGCCGATAACGCACAGGTAGCAATGGTAGAGTCCCAAGTCCAAATATTGATTCTGCATAACACTTGCCAAAAACACTCTTGTACGTTACGGTTTCATTCAGAGGCCTATGCCTAGCACAGGGCCAAACTTGGCCGCGGGGCTAAGAAAGAGGATGTCCGTAAAAAACACATCCAATTGCAAACTTCGGAAACTGGCATCTGTACGGTGCTTCACTTGAGCTGAAACAAACCTTGGGATCCTTCTTTTTCGTCTCCCTATGCAATCAGGCCAGCCCCTCGACTTGAAGTGCATCAGAGCAGACAGGAAGCATCGATCCTGTAGTAAACCACCCTCCGATCCAACGCCTCTGTCAACGAACCGGAAAGCCCCAAAAAAAAGTTTCAACTTGCCAGGCCTTCACATAGAGAAAACAAAGATGCAGTCATGTCGCTCATCCCAGCCGCCCACTTGAACGTCAGAGTGACAAGAGCCGACACGTTAATTGGCACGGTCAACATTTCGAGTTAAAGGATAGTTAAAGGCAACCATTGCGCTTGCCCACTGGCTTCATTGCGCCACTTGCCCACTTGGATCCACTCGACCTGCCTGCCCACACTTGCCCCACTTGACTTGCCCCACTTGCCCCAACTTGCACCAACTTGCACCACTTGCACCAAGATTTTGGGGCCCTCAAGTTGTGTGGCAGTTTTTTAAGAGGCCCAGGAGGTTTCTACACGATCTGCACTCAGCTGCTCGATCCGTGTCGTCATGATGTGCAATGCTGCAACAGATGGTACTAGTGTAAGTTTGTATTACTAGTTGTTGATCTACATGTGAACTTGGTTGAATTTCGGAGCCGCGGCAAGGACACGATAGGTGGGACTGCACCCGGGAGGCGGGCGGGGGCAATTGGGGCAAGAAGCCGGGTGAGGCGAATGGAACTGGAGCAGCCTTGATTTAATTCACCCTTCGGACGCAAACGAAAAATAACAGGAAACCCCGACCGCAGGCTTCTTTGGTCGGACCTCGCTCCCAATCTAGCTGACACACAGGGCATGTGAATTTATGGAGCCACGAAGCAGAATTTGCTTTGCACTGACAATCCTATAGCATTTTTCAGGTACACGCTCAAGATCGCTCAAGGGCTCAGCGGATGCCTCGGAAAGCAGCTCCGTGGATTGCAGTGAAGCCATCCTCAGAGATTCTGAGTCACAAAGGCACTGCATCCACTTCGAAGTCTACTCGAAATCTCAAAGCCAACAGTAACCTAGGAATGAACTTCATGCGCAACCGATCGCCCCCGCAGCACCGCCCTTTGTTTTCATTTAGGCCTTGACTCATCTGCATAAGGATGCAAAAACCATGAATACCAACCATACGTACCAACAAGCAATCTCAGAGGAGGCACCCCGTATACCTAACCCTTTGCATCCTAAAGGGCTTCAGGCCGCACAGGAGTATCAGCCGCTATTGCCCGAAGAGAACGCAGCAGCTCACTAAAGTGCCTTGTCCATGGTACCCATAAACTCTGCGAAGTCTGCACGATTGACGAGCGCCTGCCAGCGTGATACCATCGATCGTTACTCAAATGGGGTGTAATCTTTTCGCCTAGATGAACGCATGTTAACGGAATGTCTACCATACCATGTACGACGACGATGCGGCTTCTTTTGCTTACTCCAACTCGTTGATACCCATGCCTACTCGTCCCGCACCTGTACCACAGCCTCCAAGCCGCTAGCAGCTGCCAGGTGAAGGGCCTTCAGGTGTGAATGTGCAGAATGTGCAGAATGTGCAGAATGTGCAGAATGTGCAGAATGTGCAGAATGTGCAGAATGTGCAGAATGTGCAGAATGTGCAGAATGTGCAGAATATTTCGTTCTTCCTGTCATTTCTTTCTTTTTTCCTCTCCCAGTCAAAACCCACGAGTTAAAACCCACGTGAAGGAACGTCAACATACCACAGGAATTGGAGGTTTGCTTAGGAAAAGCCAAGGAAATATACAAGAACACAAAAAGAGGCCCCCCGTACCTACAGCATATCTGGGGGCCGTAGACCGGCCACCTGGGCATCCGGCGGTGCTGCCATCCCTCTCTCGAACTTTTGGGACTGAGAGATCAAAGTCTCCACAAGCCAGCAAGGCCTCGCGCAGAGTGAAGACGGCAACTGAAGCTATCTGAAGCTGGTAGGTGACTATGTAAGACTAAAACGAGCCGAGGTGACTAAAGCGGCATTGCCCAGCTCTCGGCTACAGGCAAAGTGTAGCGCGGTGCCTTCCTTAGTCTCACTGACGCCACCGCAGCCTACGCACAAACAACAATCCCGATAGAAGCCGCGAACCCGAATGCAAATACGCACCCGTGAGACATCAAGGCTACGTGCAGATCTGGCAATAGATTCAAAAGCGATGGCAGTCACGAGGATGGCGACCCCGACAGTCGCCCAGTCGCCATCCTCGTGACCGGAAGCATCCGTTAGCGAAACAGCACAGACAGTCACGAGGATGACGACTCCCCTCTTGACTGTGAGCATCTGTGAGCTCTTCTGGACTTTTACCAAAGCTTCAAAAACAACGACAGCTACTAGGACAGCGACTCCGACACGACGTCCTCCTCATCACTTTCGGCCTTCGGAATTTAAAACTTTAATAAGCCGTATTTAAATTCGAACGTCCGCACTCCGCAGGCAAGGAATTTGCGAGCTCATCTGGGTTTGGGCACACAAGGGACACTCTGGCCTGGGCAATCCAGAAAATCTCTGGGGTTGGGCCCTCCAGGGACAATCTCAGATTGGGCACTCCAGGGACACTCTGGGGATACTGGGATACTCTGGGTAGGATTCGGGTGATGGGCGAGGAGCAGACCGGTCGAGGAGAAGACTCTTGCTTAAAATCTAAAAACCCCACACCCGAGGGTGGGGAACAACTTCAAAAAACCTCAGAAGTGATGACTTCAACGAGTTTGGTCACGAATGAACGCCACGCATGCACGCAAACGCTCGCAGACTCTGACGGACGTTGGCGGACGCTGACCGCACGGATCTGGGTCGCCTCAGGTAACCTCCCCATCCCCAGACCTCCAACTCTCGAAACGAGAACCCCGCTACGCATTCCAGAATTTTTGCCCAGCCACTGCTCTGCACATTCAGTAATTGCTGGAGGATGCGGGGTCGAGCTACTCACGTGAAAATCTCAACCTTTACAAAGCTACTCAGCTACTACATGCTACTACCGTCTTTCATCGTAGATGGTCGGTGGCATCCACGGCGTTCAACTCGAAGCGCGGCAATGGCGACACGACGCAGCTGAGGCCTGACTGCTTCAAGACTTCAAGATGCTTGGAGATCTGCGGAGCCTTTGTGGTGCCAGCAATGCCATCTAGTTTGGGGTGCCGCTTGCCGCTCTCACTCTCGCTTGTTAGATGCAGCAGTGATGCAGCATTCGCAGTGAAAGCCTGCCTCTGTCAAGAGCTTTGCTGAGATACCACGCAACATTGCCTGCAGGCCGACTTTGAATGGCAAAAGACCAACATTTACGCCGAACAAAAAAAAATGGCGGGATTCTGCGAGTCGCCGCAAGTCTGGAAATGCATCGCCGCTTCGGTTTCGTCAACTGATGCACTGCACAGCTACAAAGTGGCTGTCGAGAACAGTGCTCATGCAGAAATGACCTGCAGAAAAGACCCACGAAGCAATTCTGCCTGAAGGGCCTTGCTCCGCCACTTCCGCTTCAAACATCTTCTCTGCGGCCTGGTGTCGAGCGGTCGAGCCCACGGTCGAGCCGAAGAACGCACTGCTGGCGGTGGATGCGGCCGGTGCTGAGGCGCTAGGCCGCTAGGGTCGCTTTCCGCTTCCCTTTCTTTTCAACTCACATCTTGACATTATGCACTAACCGAACTGCTTCACAATGAAATTGCTCACCCACCGAGCCGTCTGCTTGAAATCGTGGGACAGTTGTTCGAGTAATCTTCAACTTTACAACTCAAAGATGTTTGCTTGAGGTTCTCTAACATTTTCAAGGACACGATCCAAGATTCCTCGACGCAGCTCTCCAAGTGTTCGATCTTCAGTTAATAAAAGAACCTTCCATTTCAACTTAAAGCATGTCATAAATCTTACTCACATTTTGGATACCTTCGGGACAGTATTCTGAACACGCATGTGTCGGGTACGTCTTGTGTTTGCGCATCCTGGATCCAAGGTCCAATGTTTTTCTAGGCCAAGGATCCGAAGACAATTTCACAAGCGAAGGATCCCAGGCCCAACTCTATCTTATCAAGGGGGCCAGTCTTAAAGGATCTTGAACCTTGGATTCTTGTAGCTTCGATCTGAATAGACACAACTGGGCATCAAATAAGCGAACTGAATTCATGAGACACTTTACACACAAACAGTGGTTCAAGATTTCATGCGCAGATTAATGATCTTAATCAGGTGCCAGCTTTGCGTGATTGCAATCAGGGTCTATTTTATTCATTGAACCGAAATTACGAATGGCCTTTCATACTGAAATGTGACTTATTGCATCGAACGACTAGACCTTGGTGACATTTCCCAAGTAAATGGGACCATTCACTTCATTTGAACAACACAACTGGAAGTCAATTCTATATCTTGAACAAGGCGGGTGCGCCTCGAAAAGCTCCTGAAATTTGCCTGTTGGTGTTAGAGGATTGCAAGTCGCCTGTGACCAAAAAACGAGTCTTCGCGCAATGCAACTCAGTTCGGTGTAGTTTTCCAGGAGCCGAATCCCTATGACTGTGACGTGTTCCACAGAATGGCTTCTGATGATATTTTTCCGTAGGAAAAAACCACATCTTTTGAGATTTGCAATATCTTAACACGCGATATAAGGCCATCACACAACTGACTATGAAACAATGAAGACACGAGCGGTAAGGTATTTGGAACAAAGCAAAAATGCTGTCATGTCTACCTCTTCTTTACAGAAAGGCTTGCTAGTGATATCTGCAGTTTATACCGGTTACCCCGTAAACTGCTTGTTTCAACATCGAAAGACAGCTTTAGAACCCGGGGGTGCATATGGGGGGGGGGGGGGAAGGGGGTGACCATACATACATACATGCATGCGTGCATGCATGCATGCATACAAGCATACAAGCATACATGCATACATGCATACATGCATACATGCATACATGCATACATGCATACATGCATACATGCATACATGCATACATACATACATATATGTAAATAATACATGTGGAGCTGTGTCTTCTAACGACTGTACCTTTGCTACTGTCACAACTGTTTGACGTACATAAGTTCTGCTTTAATGTGTGTGTATATGGCTCCCTTCTTCTTCTTCTCCTTCTTCTTGTTCTTCGTGATGGATGCGCACAGATGCACAGATTCTCATATATTCTCATGCGATCTCAATCAGATACCGCCTGGCGAAGTCGACGGCAAACATCTGCCAAAAGCGCAGTGCCCAACAGCCGAGGCTTGACCTCCAAACGGAGAAGGGATTAGCAAAGCCTCCAGACTTTGGCAAGGCAAGGAACTAGTGAGCCCCTCACGTGCCTCCCGATAAGTATGCACGTGTCGGAAAAAGTGCAGAGCCACCCAGCCTCTGCATCCTCTTTGTCGGAATGCCTGAGTGTGTTCGCATACAAGATGCAAACTCGATGATGGCCGTCTGCTGCCCAGCCACACGGCGTGGCTGGCTGGACTTGTCTCTTCAAGAACAGCGGCAGCGGCACCGGCGTCACCGGCGGCACCGGCGGTACCGGCGGCACCGGCAGCACCGGCGGCACCGGCGCCACCGGCAGCACCGGGGGAACCGGAGTCTGAAGCACCTGCTTTGAACTGAGTCCGATTCTGACTGCCATCACACTGCCAACCGGCCTCCAGGGCTGTGGTCAATGGCCATATGCGCCAGTGCCACGCTGACTTCCTGCATGTCGTCGAGTAACTTCTGTCGGTCTTCCGCATCCACGCCAGCTTCCACGCCACTGCTGGCTTGAACCATGTCCGCCATGGCGTAAAGCTGCACAAGCTGCACTACCGCTGTCCGATGTTTCTGCCACTGCGTGTTTTGCGGTATGTGAACATACCAAGGAAACAAGCTGTTGAATATGCTCAACGCTGCCGTCTCCGCACCTGTGCAGACATTGTAAACACAAGAATGCTAGTACGACTCGATGCGATGAAACCAGGTGAATGATCTGGATGTTTACATTCTGCCTCCACTGTTGGTCCGTGTGTCGGCCACCGTATGCCAACAGCCCATTGCTATCACACTGCATTCTGCCACGAAGCCAGAAATAAGAGATCCACTCGGAGCTCAAAGGAGGGGCAACAATCTTGCAAGAGACAGAAGCGGCATGCCCACCGATGCCTTTGGGAAGCTGGTGTCCCGAAAACGTTCCGAGCGGAGTGCCTCCAATTTTGTTCTGTCATGCATTTCCTCTTGTTGTCACAGCCTTCAGCATCCAACAAGTGTCAGAACGGTCGCCTGATACGCCCCTTCTATATCATAATGTCCGGGACCAGGGGCATCAGCAGATGGTGTGAGCACTCCTGGCCAAGACAGGCCACGGCGCTGGAGGAAGTCCCAAGTACCATGTCGCAGCAGGAGAAGTTTCCCTGACCTGGCTTCCTCGAACTGGGCAGCGTCCACCTCAAGGCATTGATTGCGGTAGGATGGCTAATTATCGCTTTTTCCAAAAAGGAGCAGCATCGAACTCCGTGAACATTGTGAACATTGCTGTATGAAACAAAATGCTCTCGGATACAAGTTCTAACAGTTCTAACTTGGACCGGACCGTTGCTCTTCAACCAATCCGTGAAAGAAACACCGGGAGATACCGGGAGCAATCCACAGAGCATTTCAGCCCACAAGATCGCGTGTCTCATGGTTTCTCCGTCTCGGTCAAGCAAGTCACAGGATGCAGTGGGTCATGTCTGTCTAACAAAGAGGTATTTCAGCCGCAGCTGAGATCCTTTCGGCCACCGAAACAAAGCCTCTTTTGTTTGCAAGTATGAGCGAGAAGGTCCGAACATGTACCCTTTTGAGCTCCCTGCCGTGGAGCACGCGCGCAGAACGCAGAAGCTACCAACGGCCCTGGCACACCGAGTCGCAGTGACTTCAGAGTGTGCGAAGCACCGAGTAAAGCACCGAGTAAAGCACCGCGACAGCCACTGAGGGACACCCGGACAAACCCGGACACTCGCGCTGCTGCAAACGCTGCCACATCCCCGACCTTCACCAGCTCCCTTCTTTCGCATGCGCTCCTGATTTCTGACAGCAAGTCTTGCTGGAAAACAGATTTTCCTGCACCACAGACACGCACGCGCCTGTTCCAGGAGGCCTCAGAGAGCCAAGCTGCACAACATCTCACGCCTTGTCGGCACCTCAGTCAACCCAGGCTCCACAGGATCTCAACAGGATCTCAACAGGATCTCAACAGGATCTCAACAGGATCTCAACAGGTCAACAACAGATGTCAACAACAAACGTCAACAGGACCCCCATTGTCTGAGAACAGGGGTTTGGCTCCAGCACAAATCCCATTGCTCCTCCAATAAACGCACAATCCTGTGGAATCTTGACTACTGTCTTGAACTGACAAACGATGCACTGATGCATCGCTCAAAACTAGAAGATGCAAGGTCTGGGATGTTGCAATGCCAATACTAGCGCATGTTACAGAGAGACAACAGTGACTGTGACACAACTAATGCTCATTACATCGTTCTATCAACGGTAAATCATGGCAAAATGATGCTTGGTGATGCATGTCACCTGGTAGGCGGTACAGCCAGCACCACTCATACACACATACACACGCACATTTTCACACACACACACAAACAAACAAACAAACAAACAAACAAACAAACAAACAAACAAGCAAGCAAGCAAGCAAACAAACAAACAAACAAACACACACACACACACGCGCACACACACACACAAAAAAAAAAAAAAAACACACACACACACACTCACACACACACACAAACACACACACCACACACACACACACACACACACACACACACACACACAGAGAGAGAGAGAGAGAGACACAGAGACACAGAGGCACACACACACACACACACACGCGCACACACACACACACACAGACAGACAGACAGACAGACAGACAGACAGACAGACAGACAGACAGACAGACAGACAGACAGACAGACAGACAGACAGACACACACACACACACACACACCCATGCAGGCACAAACACCCTCACTCACTCACTCACTCATTCACTCATTCACTCACTCACTCACATGGGGACGAGCAACATGTCAACGATGCCAACATGGCCTTCCGGGCCTATCAAACATGCTCCAGTACTAGGGTACTCCAATGAAACCTACAACAGCGAGAGGCGAGTATTGTGCAGCGAGGATTCCAGATGCAATTATGCTCAACATCACCTTATGCAAGCAAGTGCCGGTGACTGGTGACTCTTTCCCTGTTGTGGACGTTGGCACAGGTATCCAAGACAGGCCTGTGGCCCCTGCATGGTGGGAGAATGTTAGGACACAAAACCCTTGTTAGTCAGGGTGGCTCACACACACACAACAAAATTTTCAGCATAACAAGAAAACTATGTTCAGGTATTCTAATATCGGCTCCAAAAAAGGCCAAGCAGCGGGCCACGCTAGCCACAATGCATGTTGGGACAGGCTCGGGCACGGGAGCTCAAATGCAGCAACTAGTTGGACATGGCCAGCAGATCGGACCA